TTAGCACACAGTTCCCAGGCTTCTTCGGGAGAAGCCATGGCTTTTTATAGTAGTAGGATACTGCTTTAAACATATAGCAAAAAATGGACCCTTTGCCATAAGTGTTGTTGTTTAGTCGTTTAGTCGTGTCCGGCTCTTCGTGTCCCCATGGACCAGAGCATGCCAGGCACTCCTGTCTTCCACTGCCTCCTGCAGTTTGGTCAAACTCATGTTAGTAGCTTGGAGAACACTGTCCAACCATCTCGTCCTCTGTCGTGCCCTCCTCCTTGTGCCCTCAATCTTTCCCAACATCAGGGTCTTTTCCAGGGAGTCTTCTCTTCTCATGAGGTGGCCAAAGTATTGGAGCCTCAGCTTCAGGATCTGTCCTTCCAGTGAGCACTCAGGGCTGATTTCCTTAAGAATGGATAGGTTTGATCTTCTTGCAGTCCATGGGACTCTCAAGAGCCTCCTCCAGCACCATAATTGTATTACACTATTTTTTGTGTTTTTATGGTATTTTTATTTATGGTATTTATGGCCATAAGCGTATTACACTATTTTGGGGGAAGTAGCTGGGAATATTCTAGAGCAGAAGTTGGGAACCTTTTTCGGCTCAAGTGCCACAGTCCCTTGTGGGCCATTTTCTGTGGGCAACATGCCACAGGTATGTGGGGCCAGAGGAAAATGTGGGAGAAGCAGCAGATAAGACTCCTACCTTTGTCCAGCAGGCTACGTTCCAAGCATGGAAAACATCACATCTACACACACTTTCCTCTGTCTTCCATTCAGGCACACAAGTGGCACTGGCACAGTTTAAAGACACTTTCTGGGCAGGCAGATGGGTGCAGAGCAGACAGAGGAAGGTGGAAGTGTTGAGGGCTGTGGCGAGGGAGAGCTCCAGAGGAAACTTTCAGCCACTTCAGAATGGTCAGTTTCTGCTAGGAGTCAGGACACTCGGCTACAAAGAAAGTGCATAGCTGAGGTGGGGGGGACCCACTGCATAGCATCACTTATAGCAAAGTTGGCCAGGAAAACCTATTAGAAAATATTGGCAACCCAATTCCCAAAAGATTGCCTCTGAGTAGCAGGCATTTAGAGGGAATTTTTAAAGCAAGAGAAACTTGTGTTGTAGATGGATGCAATGTAAGCTTTTACAAAAGTCTGGTTTCAGCACCTTTGGGGAAATTTGAAAATGGACACTTTTGCAGTTTCCTATGGGATTTCGGTGGCGATATTCTTTTCCACAGGAAATAGTTTCTGGTTTCAGCTACTTTATTGTGGCAAGGAGAGAGCTAGTGACTAACGCTGAGAGGAATTGTTAAAGAGACGTATTGGCTTTTAATTGAGTCTGCTTGTTTGCTTTGTGTCCAAATTAATTCAGCTTTGTAGTGACCATGCTTTAGGAACTGGCATACACTTGACATTTTCTCATAATCATTACCATATTCCTCCCGTTGAAGCACTGTTTTGATTAAGCACTCAGAAAGCTCTGCTAAAATATCATTGCAGCCGAGTCAAATGACCGCTGTCTTGAACTCAAGACTAATCATAGGAAGAATGGCTCACAATTGATTTCAGGGAAGCATGATACATACTTCAGCTTGTTTCCCCTCCTCCTGCCTTTTAAACTTTACAGAAGGGCTAATTTGGAAGAAGCATGAGTAATCACACATTAAGGATAATTTATATTATTATAAGACAAATAGCAGATAATGGTAACACCCAGAGGGCACCCTTCAAGTGTCAAGCTTTTGTTGTTCCAGGTGCTGTATGAACTGTGGCTTTCTTGAGAGATGTGTCCTATAATAAATAGCCTGTTGTGATGGCTGCGTAGATCCTTGCGGCTCTGTTAAGCTGGCTTTGAGGTCTTGCGTGCATTAATTACAATAATTCACATGTATACTGTTTGACTGACGGTCAATCCAGATAGTTCTAGCTTTACATAAATGGAAAAAAGAGCAGTTCTGGATAGCAGCTGAACAGGAAGGTTGGGGGCACCTTGCAATTCACAAGTGCAGTACTAGTTGCTACCATAAGGTCCATTACTGCTGTGGCAGTTACTTTATTATTTTTCATTGTTTATCGTACAATACATTAAAAATAACAGTACAGAAGCAAACTGGAGAACAGAATGTCCTTGCTTGCAGTCACTTTATATCACATGCAGAAATCATCTGTGAGACCGGACCATATAGGCACAGATGGATTTCTGTGTGTTGGGTGGGAGGAGCTGTTTAACTGGGTAAGAGGAAGAGTGCTTATACATGAGGTGCTTTTTTTTTTTTTTGTAGTGCCACTGGAGCCCTGACCAATGGTTGCTTGCGTAAAGGGGCTGTAGGGGGCTCACATCTTATAGCCCCATCCTCGTTGCCATGCAACTCCTTCCAGCTTTTTTGTTCAGTTTTTATTTACCTACAGATGTGAGACAATAAAACATAACATTATTAATAATATTTTCCATTTATGAATCGCTTAACATGAAGCATTGTGTGAATTACAATAGAATAAAAACATTAAACAGTGTAATATATAAAAACATAAGCCCCCCCCCCCACAAAATTTAAAACAACATACATAAGATCAATTCAAATCCAATATAGATTCTAACGGGAATAAATATCTCTATTTAAAAGACTTGTTAAAAGAAGAATTCTTTAGCTGGAGCTGAAAAGGCAGCAGAGAAGATGACTTCCATGTATAAGGGGAAGAAATTCCAGAGGAGAGGGGCCACCACACTGAAGGCCCAGTTCTGGCACTGTGTGGAATGGACCTCCTGATAGGATGGTATCTGCAGGCAGGATACCCTCTCCAGACTCTTATTTATTAAATGTATATACTGCCCTTGTTAGAAAACCACAGGGTGGTTTACAACATACCAGACAATAGGTAACATCATATTTTTACAACATAAATATCAAAACGATTATATAAATACAGTCACAATGAGAGGTTCACAATCTGTTAGAAGCATTCTCTTTATTTCTAAGTTAAGCAGAGGTTCCAGTAAAGGAAAATAAATTTAAAATTCTGGGTTATGGCAAAGGGTAGATGCAGACAACTAGTTTTAACCACTGCATGGTGACTTTCAGAGTTATTCTGCAGTGCCTTAGGTTGTCTAAAGGTTCTCACACAGAATGGATCTGGAGCCAGCCTGCTCAAACAAGTCCCCAAATATGAGTGAGTTGCATATTCAATCACACATTGGACCCCATCCCTTCAAACAACTCAAATCTTCCTAGCATGCTGTCACCACAGAGTTAGCAAGAGGTGGGGGAAATGGGTGATTTGACAAGCTAACAAAAATCTGTTTTAGCATCACTTTTTAAAATAACGTATTTGTGGGGAGCCTGAAGGAGAGAAGAGTGCTAGTTGTGGTGGTTTGCATCACTACAGGTCTTTAAATCAAGTTGGGATGTGCTGCATTTCAACCAGAACAGATGGGCTAGATGCAGGAATTGCTAGGTGGATTTTTACAACACCTTTGAAGCAGAATGTCAGGTTTAAGTACCATAATGGCTACCTTCTTGCCTTAAAAATCACCAAGTCTATAAACGATTACTTCAGAAGAGCAGTCACACAGCTCAGCAATTTAGCCTGTTCTGTTTTGCCTTCCTCTGTTATTTATGGCTTAAACTTCTCAGTGTTGGAACATTTGGAGCAATGAAGTGAATGAAAGATGCTACACAACTGTATAGGCATAACTCTTAACAGCTGGTATCATGAAACAGAATTCCTTTTGTAAGTGTTAAAAGCCACTATGAGAGCACGTGCGGTAAGGTGAATTCTGACCGCTGTACGTACAGTATTGGTATTTCATGAAAACCACCTTGAAAAACAAATCTGCCACTGTAGGATTTGCATTTCATCAGTGGTGAGGCCAGTTCAATTTATGTTTGAATATCCAGCAGTACCAAGTACACCCATGTTAATGAAACACCACAGATAATTGTGGCTTTGATTATTTGAGCCTCTGAAGAATGCCCTGTTCCTGTAAGGAAGGATGGGATAACCACAACAGTTTTGCAACCTTAAGCTCATATTGGGGAGTAGAGGCATAGGATGTGCTATGCAAGGGGACAACTGGAAAGGCTTAATTTCAGTGGAAGTATCTGTGCATTAAAAGGGAACTGCTCAATAGTACTGATTCCACAGGAGTAAAATTTTGATTAAAATTAAGAAATAAAAGCGGTTGCAGACTAAGATGCTCCAGCTACTCTGAAATTGTCAGTAAAAGAGGCTATACTTGCCTACACGGACTGGCAACTGCTCTCCCTGGTTTCAGACAGGACCTTTTCAACCCTACCTGGAGATGCTGGGGATTGGACCTGGGAGCTTTTGTTTACAAAGCAGATGCAAAGAAAAACCATAAAAGAGAGCACTTGTGCGGTGGCATCCAGCTTCCAGAGTCTTGCCTGAGAGTTTGAGGCTAATGCATGCTATGTGACTTCCCTACCACTGTACAGAGTTGCTTTCAGCAGGGGTGCCAAGTTTAATAAAATATTGCGGTGGGGGGGGCAGGTAAGCCCCGCCCCGCATAATTGATCACATGACACGGTGCATGCACACCATTTGAATGGCAATGGCCCATCGACTTTGGGGGGACCTGACTCCCTCAAATATTTTATTGGGGGGCCCCCCGAACCCCTTAGGAGTTAGCTCCTGTGTTTTCAAGCCATGCTTTTAACATGATTGTAACATGGTCTCCAAGGAGGCTCCTGGCCTGCCTAACGTTAGTATGGTTAGTGCAATAAAGGAATCCATTGTCTAAGGCAGCAGTCCTAACCATGTCTACTGAGAAGTAAGTTCTAGTGAATTCAGTGAGGCTTACGTGCAGGTAAGCAGGGTTAGGATTACGCCTTGACTGGTGCCACACAAGAATCGTATCCATGTACCACAGCTGACAGTTTGGAACAGTGGCGTTGTGTTGCTCATGACATATCCAGTGACACATAGTGTGGAATCAAGTTATGCCTTTGAGTCATTAATATTAGAACTGTATTTTCTCCTTTCTTGGGGAATAGAAGCAGAGAAGATAGGGCTGGAGGCTGGAAATGGGTTACCATCTTGGAAATTTAATGACCAGCTCTTTCCCTGTGATGTGTGTGGAAAAGTGTTTGGCCGACAGCAGACGTTGTCCCGACATCTCTCCCTGCACACAGGTAACACTTTTTTAAAATAGTGTTGGGCCGTTTCACTCCATTTTTTTCCGTGGAAACAATGAACATTTCTTTGCATGCAAATAACGGTGGATTGATCTATCCTCTGTACACTTTGCAACACTCGTAGTCAATAGGTCTCTCGCCTTAAAATTCATAGTTTTTTATATTATTATTATTTTTTAAAAAAAATTTCCAAAAGTTGGGGCATCTGGTTTTGGTGCTTGATCATGCTGATCATTATCCGTTTGGTAGGGCTTGTATAATGCACTAGCATTGTGTGTTGGATGCAGGGACCTTCCCTGCAGCAGCAGTTTTTATTTCACTGATACAATCACAATGGAATTAAGACATTTGCCTTTATTATTAAACTTCTGCTCAAGTCTTCTCACATAAACCTGTGAGATAGTCCCCTACCCCGATTATGTTATGACATCTGCACTCCCACAATCAGTGCATGTGTTAAAAACACTTCAAAATATATAGGGATCAATCAAAGCCTACTTACATTGCTGAAATAAAACGGCACCAAGTATAACAATGCCAAGATAGATAACCAGTAATGTGATTTTTTAGAAAAGGAAAGAACATAATAGATTTTCTCATAAGCTCAGCTAATTGAACTATTACCCTCTTCCTTGTACTGAAATGCTGTTTGTCTCAAAGCAACTATAAGAAAACATTACACGTGGATAGATAACCACAGGTGATCTTGTTAACATTTTGTTCTGTACATCTATGCTCAAAATATTCTGAAGGATTTGTTCTAGAGCAATACTTCAGCTTCAGTGCTTAGGTAAAATTGATGTGATGTTTTAAGCTGCATAGTTACTAATTAGGGGGTAAGTCTTTAGCACATCTATGTTGTATTAAGACATTTAGTAAAGGCTTTTTAAGCTAACCAGGCTATTTGAATTTGAATAGGTTATAGGCCACAATCCTGTACCCACTTACCTGTGAATAAGCCCCACTGAACTGAACATGCCTACTCAGAAGTGGCATGTATAAGTTTACACTGTTGGACCCAATTTTTAAGGACCTTACATCTGTCACAATAAATCCCCAGTTGAGGTTCAAACATGCTGTCTGAAATCCAAATTCTGGGAATTTACTGAGCAACAGATTGCAGCTTCTGAAAACAATGCCAGACCATTCCTACAGATACCATCTGTTTGTGTGCCACAAGCTAATAGTTCAAATCATTTTTAAGCACTACAAGTCAGTGATAAGATAGAAATGAAAGTTTTAATATTATTAAGATAACAGATATAACCTATAGAGAGAGCTGCACAGCCTGTCTGAAAGCCCCCCTCACTATATTCCACAATGGCTATCAAGATTATACCTCAACGCAGGCTTCAAGGAAGGAAACCAAGGCGCAAAATGAACACTCAAGCCCTTCAAAATCCTATTAAGTGGGATTGCTTCCAAATGACTCTTAAGGACCATCTGCTTTTGGAGTTCCCTGATAACATCAAGGAACACTGTACCAAGATAAAAACATCCATTATTGCAGCCTGTGAACAAACTACTGGATACCAAACCAAGATACACCAGGACTGGCTTGATGAGAACGATAGTGAGACTGAAGGCATTATTGACAAGAAATGGAAGGCCTTTCAGATCTAGCAAAGAGCAACTGTGCTACTAAGAAAAAACTCTATGCTAAGGCTGAGGTTCAATGAAGAACCAGAGAATAAAGAACACCTGGTGAATTAAAAGAAGCTCAAGAGATCCAGCACTTAGCCAACACTCATGATGCACAGAGTTTCTTTAAAACCACAAAGACCATCTGTGGGCCAATAAATCATGGCATATGCCTCCTACACTCAACGGACAGTACCACACTTCTAAAAGATAAAGAAGCTATTGCATTGCCCTGGAAAGAACATTACCAGCATCTCCTTAACCACAACTCCTCCGTAGCTACAGAGGTCCTCTCACAATTTCCATAAAAACAAATTAAGAGATGAACTAGCAGTATCTCCTAATCTGGGAGAGTTGTGTACAGGTATTAACCAAATGAAAAACAACAGAGCCAGTGGACCTGATGGGATACCTTCCGAAGTCTTCAAAGTGGGTGGAATTGAACTTACACAACAACTTCACAAGCTCATCAAAAAAAATGGGGGGGGGGGGAGGAGATCCCAGCAGACTTTAGGGATGCTAAAATTATCAACCTTTTTTTTTAAAAAAAGGTGACAGAATGGATTGTGGAAACTTATCAAGGCATCTCTTTATTAGCTGCAGCCGGCAAAAGTTTTGCAAGGATTTTAGCAAACCATTTCCTAACCCTATCCGAGGCTACCCTTCCTGAATCCTAAAATGGTTTTCGGCCTCCTAGGGTGACAGTGGACATGATTTTCACTGCTTCAAGAAAAATGCAGAGAGCAAAACCAACCCTGTTTATTGACCTAAGGCCTTCGACAGTGTAAATCGTAATGCCCTGTGGACTGTCCTTCTAAAAATCGGCTGCCCAGATAAATTTGTGAACATCCTTCGACTCCTCCATGATAACATGACAGCAACTATTGCAGTTAACAATGGCTCTCAAAGTGAACCATTCACAGTGGGATCAGGTGTTAAAGAGGGTTGTGTTATCACCCCAACTCTATTTATTGTTTTCATTGCCATGATCCTACACATTGTCGAAGGGAAACTCCCCACTGGGGTAGAACTCACATATCGAACAGATGGAAATCTCTTTAATCTGAGTAGGCTGAAAGCAAAGAGTAAGGTCACCATAACTTCCATCATAGAGCTTCAGCATGCTGATGACAACGTAGTGTGGGCACATTCAAAGGATGACCTCCAAACCATTCTAAATAACTTCACAGAAGCTTATGAAAAGCTTGCACCAACAAGGGGGGGGACTCTGCTGCACCACCCGTGTACTAGAAGAAGCCAAGATCACTAGTGCTGAAGCATTGATTCTTCAACATCAACTTCGTTGGACTGGTCATGTTGTTTGGATGCCTGATTATCAACTACTCTATTCTAAACTTAAAAATGGAAAGCGTAATGCTGGTGGTCAACAAAAGAGGTTTAGAGACTCTCTCAAGGCAAATCGGGGAAAAAAGGTAGGATAAAAACCGACAATTGGAAAACACTGGCCTTCAAGCGCTCCAATTGGAGAACAGCCTTTACCAAAGGTGTAATGGACTTTGAAGACGCTCAAACTCAGGACAAAAGGGAGAAATGTGCTAAGAGGAAGGCATGTTTGGCAAACCCTCACCATGATCCGCTCCCACCCAGAAACCTATATCCCCACTGTGGAAGGACGTGTGGATCCAGAATTGGCCTCCACAGTCACTTACAGACCCACTGTTAATGTTCATGGAAGACAATCTTACTTGGCTACGAGTGATCACCAAAGAAGATGATTCATTTCAAACCTACTGAACGTGGCTGAGCACAGGGAACTGGATGTGTGCAGCGCATGATGTCGCCAAGAAACTTCTGCCCCTCAATTCCCAGAAAAGTTTTGCATTTCATATATATATATATATATATATATATATATATATATATATATGGTTATTAATAAGGAAGACAGCCCAGCTGAAGCAACAGGTGGGGGCAATCTGGTCAGTTGAACTTCATTCTGCAGGTGTGAATGCCTATCATTTCTATTGCACAGCCAGGCTCACTAAGATGCTATGTGCACTGTCTATCCCCTCCCTACCCCCCATGATTGTCTTCACCTTTAGAGTCGCTGCAGCCATATCTTCAGATTTCATTGCAAAAGAATTACACTGAGCTTTCACCCAAATATTTCCTACTTAAGAATTTGCTGGCCATCACAAGTGAACTGGTGATCAAACACAAAATGTATTTCAGGCACTCAAGACTGTATTGTACTTCCTGGGAGCTGTTCTCAGAGATAACTGAACTACCATTGCAAATTATAGCCTCTTTTATATTGTCTTGCTGGGGTGTTTTTTTAAAAAAAAACAGCAAGGTGCTTGGAGAAACTTGTGATGGGTGAACTGGTACCTCTTGCTGGGCTAAATATTTAGTTTAATGTGTCACAGTTGCATGCTTTCATGCCCAGAGGGACATAATTGAACTACTTGATATGATAAAAGGTAGCTTTTCATCTCTTCTCATTTTTATACAATACTTAGTCTGAACATAGCCTATGAATATAGTAACTGTTGATATAATGCCAAGAGCTTTCTGAACTTTTTACACTTTTAAGCAAGGGACAGGAACCACACTAAGTTAAGGGCCTTTTTAAAAAGTTAAGAGCTTTTAAACCCTACCTATTTCAGTGGGAGATAGCTAAGCAAGTGCTTAACTCTCCCATTTAAACAGTGAGGCTCAAAAGTGTTTTAACTTTTGCTAGATCATGCCTAATGTTGGTTAGGATTATTCTGATGGATGAAGATGGTGTTTTTCTTAATTTAATGTGGGACATAAATTCTGCATTAGTCACTTTGCATGTTCACGAGGCTGATTTTCTCTGTGGCAATCCAGACCATGCAGAGAGTCACACACCCATACAGTGATAGACCATGTCCTTTGTTGTTGTTTTTATTGTTTTTGTTAGCAACATGCCTTTGATGCTGTTGAAGACAGATAGAGGATGTTCCCTCCTTCTGCCAGGGTGCCTCTGTGTGGGTGGAAGCCACTCTGAAGAAATGCTGACGATTCCCATGCTGTTGCCTCAGCTCCATGGTGGGGATACAAATGTGAGATGTGTTTGCACGCATGCAAAGCTCCCCCTCAAAGTCTTTTAATGTTTCTTTCCAGAAGAGAGAAAATACAAATGCCATTTGTGCCCATATGCTGCTAAGTGCCGTGCTAACCTGAACCAGCACCTGACTGTCCATTCCGTGAAGCTGGTGAGTACAGACACTGAGGACATTGTCAGCGCTGTCACTTCCGAAGGCAGTGATGGAAAGAAGCACCCTTATTACTACAGGTGAGGACCCGGGAGAAAGCCAAGCCCAGAGACTCCGGCGCCAGCTGCCTTTTCTGCCTCTCTCTCTCTAGGAAAACCAAAAGAACAAACTCAGTCGGGTTTGTTTCTGAGGGAGAACCTGGCAGGTGCATTTGGCTTGCCTGCATTTAACCTCAGCAGTGGCCCAGAGTGAGGGTGATGGGGATTTTGCAGGCAGATGTGGTAGTTATAAGCACCTCAAGGGCAGAAGTAATGTGTAACTCTTGAATTACTCTCAGCTCACATTCTGAATCCAGAGATTCGACGGCCAACTTCCAGCATTTCCGAGCCTGCTTCTGAATCCATTCTGTATACCCCACACATCCGCTGCACCTTCCCACTAATATCCTGAAATGCTTAGCCAAATAACCTATCACTTGTGGACTTAGAGACTGGTCCAGCAGAGTATGTGCCCTCCTCCTGCCACCTGAATAGGTGGACTTAGTCAGGCATCCATATAATATCTACTTGTTGAGTCACAGCTTTCCATTTTCTGAAAGCCCTTTGAAATGTAGGATGAACCAGGATGCAGCAAGTGACAATATTGCCATTTGTTGTAACCTGCCGCAGTAGTCACATAAGCAGTTGCCACTGGGCTATTTGTCTGTCACTAATGAGGTGCTCCCTACTCTCAGGTTCACAACTTAAAGACATGACACAAAAGGAAAAGGGAGGAAGAGGGAGGAAGGGGAAAGCAAACACATGCACTAATTCTTAGTTCAGAGTTTTTTGCAAGTGTTCCTTCTGGCAGAGGGAGGAAGTAAGATCCCTGCAGCTACTCCTCCTTTGGCCAATGGATGGGTTCAGGTTGGTCTTCCCCTTGTTGTGATGTTCTTCCTGGGGGAGCAACTTCCCAGTGGCCCTTGGTACACTGACTGATGACAGAAGCTAGAGTATGCTGCCTACAGAGTGTGCTGTGCTTATCCAGTTCAAGCAAGCAACTGCACAGTGCCCACTTGGAATCCAAACAACACTGGACCCCATTGCATGGGTCATTCCTATGTAACTGCTTGCCATGCATATCTCCCATATAAATCACACCACTGTAAACTGCCCTGACAGCATGCCATGGTATGCTGGGAGTGGTGAGTCTGTGTAGCCCAAATGCTGGTCATGGAGTGTCACTGCTTTTGCAAATAGCTATCCCCAAGCTGATTGTGCAGACTGGGCGTTAGGTGACCTGCCAGCCAAGGCTTGGAAATTAATGTTGACAAATCTGACTGGAATGAGAGATGTAGTCTTCAGTGTTTTGACTTGTGTAAAACTTGTGAGATCCTGTAAAGAACATCAGCTATAGTATGTATACATACGGAAGTGTATTATCCTGCCTTTCTAAGCAAAAGCCAATGCAAGACCGTTTAGAACAATTTGAAATAAATAATGCAGTTTAAAAACAATGTAAAATGCAATAAACCAGAAAACAGCACTAGCAGTAAAATAGATAAATTAAAAAGGTATTTCCTTTTAAACAAAAAACACCCACCAGGGAATAAAACCGGTTTTGGTGTATTAATCAAATAGGGCAGTGGTGCGCCTCTTTGGAGTGGCCATTCCATAATCTGAGCATCAGGACTGAAAAATCATTTTCGCTTGTCTTGTCCCAACAAGACTGGGTCAGAAAGCAAGGAGGGCCTCATACTAAGCAACAGAATCTGGTCTTGGGCTGCTTAGGAGTTTGAAGGCCAAACCAAGCCCCTAAACCTTGTTTATGGTTGCCAATGCCAGCAGGGCTAGAAGCTGATTGCAAAATTCCTCTTGGTAGCGCTGGTGTCTGCAGAGCTGATGAGTGCTCCCTGAGCCCATTTTGGCTTGCTTCTGTTGAATTTGCCCGGCATTTCTGCACAAGATCCCAACCTCACATGGGATTGTTTCCAAAGCTTGGGAGCTGCTTGCGAAGTCTGCAGCAAGCTCTCCATTTGTCCACGTAGCAGCCTGACTAAACATCTTGGCAAGGCTGCAGCACATCTTATTGCCCAAAGGAAATAGCTAGGTGATGTGCAGCATCTGGAACCTGTAGTTTTTAATTAACTTTATGATTATTTAGCATCATTATAGCGTGTTTGGGATTGTTGCCTTGTGCCTGCCCTTAATCATCTTGGCATGGCTGTCAGTTCAGAAACAGTTCAGTAGACAAAAGAATATCCCAGTGCTATTTAAACGGAGAGAAGAAGACAAAGTTAGTAAAAACAGGAATTGGTCAGGTTGAATGAAGAAAAGTGATGTGTATCTGTCACAAAGCATTTCTGTAAATGCACGCTCCTTAATCTTTCTAACTCTCTCCTGCCTCCAGTTGTCATGTGTGTGGATTTGAAACCGAGATGAATGTCCAGTTTGTCAGTCATATGTCGCTTCATGTGGATAAAGAACAGTGGATGTTTTCTATTTGCTGCACAGCCTGTGACTTTGTTACCATGGAGGAGTCAGATATGAAGGCTCATGTCGCCACCAAGCATGCAGGTGATCACCCCAGATCTGGGCTTGTCTCCTACGGCCATCTCTCTCCTTCCCAACTTCTCCACCGAAATGTTGGCTGAGGCCCTCCTGGTTGGATACAGTGGTCTGCAAAATTCCACTGACAGAAACTTCAAGTGCATGATTAAGACCAAACTGTTTTTAAGATTAATCTATATCATGTGTTAAAACTGCATAGTTTATCATTCTGTTTAGAATGAACCTTAAAAATCTGAGGCTGCTGTGTGAAGAGTTTGTGAGTGTTAATTGCTTCCACTAGATAAGAGAAGGCAAGGACTCACTAACACCTCTTCACACTATCTACGTGTGACCTTCCTTTGCAAATGCTTTGTATAGTATAATGTAGGCATCCTCCCTCTTACCTTTTGCAAGCATGAGGAAGTGACCTTATACCCGTGGGTAGAAATGACTTCAGTGACTTCACAGTTTCTCATCAATGGAAATAGGGATGAGTTGCAGGTGTTTTGTTAACACTAGACCAGTGCTGGTTTCCATTCTCCGCAACTATTTGAGCCAGTGTGGTGGAGTAGTTCGGGTGTTGGACTAAGACCTGGGAGACCAGAGTTTGAATCCCCACTCAGCTGTAAAGCTCACAGGGTGACATTGGACCAGTCATTATCCATCAACCGAAACCTGCCTCACAGAGTTATTAAAAAATAGGACGGGGAAGAAGTTTGTACTCCACCTCAAGCTCCTTGCAGGAAAGGTGGGAAATGAATGAAAATGAATGAATGAATGAATGAATGATATGCTGCTGTAGGAGGAAGTACAAGGGGGATCCCAGAAAGGCTGGAATCCAAGGAGAAGCTTCACTCTAGTCATAGAATTGTAGAGTTGGAAGGGACAAGGGTCATCTAGTCTGAAACTCTTTAATGCGGGAATCTTTTGTCCAGTATGGGGCTTGAACCCACGACCCTGAGATTAAGAGTCTCCTGCTACATACTGAGCTATCTTTCAGTGTGTCTCTCTGTCTCTACTAATCAATTGAAGAATGGGGAGATCATGCCTTTCTGAAGAGAGCTCCATTAAATCTGTAATTCAGTGCAAGTAGGACAAAGAAGGCTCTCAGAGATAATTGCATTGCTTCCAAGACATGTCTACAGGAAGGTGACACTGGGTGGACTAGAACTACAAAGCTGGCAGCAACCACAGGTCATCTTGCCCCAGCTTCTGCCCATATTCAGAAGCATCTATCCACCAGCCACACGAGGATCAACCTAAGAACAGCATTCTGTCAGCAAATTACTGTAGTGTCCATAGTTCCAGTCTCAAGGAGGGAAGGCAAACCTCTTATTGCAAGGAGAAGCCCTTGGGAGCTCAACCTCCTATTAAGAATCCTGCATCTACAGCAACAGAGAACCTGGCTAAAAGTCTGAGGCTCTGCTCCAGCCATGGGCAGATAGTTGCACAAAACTTGGTTGCTCTAGATGAGGATGTTCATTCCCATGTGAAACAACTGGTGTAACTGGCCAGATCAGGTGGGCAGGATGAGCACCGCACCATGTGCGTAGAGATGTGTGTGCAGATATGCAAGAACAGCTACTGCAGCACATGGCTCTCTGCCTGCATTTGGAGCATAAATTTTAAACAACCCTGATACTAATAAGCAAGCTAATGCTTTGGGTTCTGTTGGTTGGTTTTCTCCCTAGGTGAAGAGAGAAAGACTCCAAGCGACTCAAACAGCCCTTCGTCTTCTTCCCTGTCAGCACTTAGCGATTCTGCCAACAGCAAAGAAGATGCAGAGACCAGCCCCAAGCCCAAGGCTTCAAACAACCTGCTAGTTATTTCCGTAGTGCCTGGTAGTCAGACCTTATTGAACACGGAAGAAAAATCAGAAAAAGGTAAGGAGTCGGTGAAATGGATGCAAAGTCAGTCCTTCCACTTGCCCAAGGCTTTGGTGTGCGACTTAGGTAATAGTGTCTGTGATTTCCTCTTGCAGGTTTTGAATGTGTTTTCTGTAACTTTGTCTGCAAAACAAAAAACATGTTTGAGCGCCATTTGCAAATCCACCTGATTACACGGATGTTTGAATGTGATGTGTGCCACAAGTTTATGAAGACTCCTGAGCAGTTACTGGAGCACAAGAAATGCCACACTGTCCCCACCGGTGGGCTCAAGTAAGGAAAGCAAGTACACAAACTTTTACTGTGTTAAGTACCTCAAATATTGTGGGGATAGTAACGGGAGGGGGGAGAGCAACAAATCTGAACAGGATCCATTTCTGCCTGGAGAGACAGAGCCAGGGAAGTTTACTCTAAAAATCACATTTTACATTCACTACTCAACAAAGCCTATCTATAAAGGACAGGATACAGTTTTTCTCCTCTTACAACACTAGAACTCATTGACATCCAACAAAGCCAAAGATTCAGCATAGGCAAAAGAAAGTACTTTTTTTTTACACAGCATATAGTTAAACTATGGAATTTGCTCCCACGGGAATCAGTGATGGCCAGCAACTTGAAGGGCTTGAAAACAGGGTCAGACAATTTCCTGGAGGAGAAGGCTCTCAAAAGCTACTAGCTACTCCATCAGTGTTCTACCTCCATTGTTGGGCTGCAAAAGTAAAGCAATAGACGTTAACATCTAAGGGGGGGGGGCGGCCTCCATCAGACCATTTAGTCCAGAGTTTGAAACTGAATCACTGAAAATAGATACAGCAAATATTAGGCACTTTGAAGTTTCATTATTTTCAGTGGCAGAGAATTAACCAAAACGAACGTACGAACATGTTTTTGATGTAAATTTGTTCAATGCTGGTTGACTTTTGCCCATTGTTACGTGGAGCTGAAATACAGGGGCGGGAATTGAGATGGCCTGTCTCTTCTGCTGTAGCAATCCTCTTAGGTACTGTTTCCAGAGGTCTACAGAGGTTTCATGATTTGGCTGAAATTGGAGAGAGTCAGGGGACCTTGTGGATTCTGTAGTCTGGTTCTCACATCACAGTAAGCCAGAGACAAACCCTGACTACAGATCATGCTTAAAGAGAGAATTTAACCCTGGTTTGTGGTTTGGATTATATGCTAAGCCAAACTTTGGCTTAACTGCCAACCTGCACCAATATATGAATGGAGAGGAGAGGAGCAAAGTGCCTGTGATCTTCTCCTTGGGGGCCCTCAAAACAGTGCATATGAAGCACACCTGAGATTAGTGAGAATATTTTCACATCAGCTAGACAGTTGAAGCATTATTGTAGTTTAGTTTACCAGCTGAATAATTCTGGTTTGGTTTGATACACTGAACATAAGTCAGTTATTGCTTCTCGGTAAGGGTGGAAATAAGTTCAAATAATGAAACACTCCTTTGAGTGTGAAATCCTGAAGGCTGCTTCTCACATTGCATTGGTGTGTTTTTGTTGTTATTGTTTTTTTTAAACAATCAAGTCACATTTTATTTTTGAATTTCCAATTTTAAACTGCTCAATGTGACATTATAGCAGAGGGTCACTCACAATCTGGGTACCTATTTCTTTAACCTGAAATAACCCCCCCCCAAAAAAAAAAACCCGAGCCCAAAATGTTTCACCTTAAAGACTTCTGCGTTTGCATGTCAGCTTACGTTATAGCAGTAGCTTGGCATTTCATGTCTTAAACAGCCAAGGACTAGTCATAGTTTGGGGGGAGAAATTGTATGTCATGAATGTGTGGAATGGCAAATGTTTGGAAGAATGATTGCCCAGACCCTGTGTTTCAATATTTCTTTGGCGGTTGTTCTTGGTTTCCCCCTCCCCCCGGCAGGTGCCCGTTCTGCATTTACTCCACCAACCGCCCCGCAGCGATGGAATGCCATTTGAAGACCCACTACAAAATGGAATACAAGTGCCGGATCTGCCAGGCAGTGAAAGCCAATCAGCTGGAGCTGGAAATGCACATCCGGGAGCATCGCCTTGGCAACCATTACAAGTGTGACCAGTGTGGCTACCTTTCCAAGACGGCCAACAAGCTGATAGAGCATGTGCGCGTACACACCGGGGAGCGCCCTTTCCACTGTGACCAGTGCAGCTACAGCTGCAAACGCAAAGACAATCTCAACCTGCACAAGAAGCTCAAGCACGCTCCCCGCCAGACTTTCAGCTGCGAAGAGTGCCTCTTCAAGACCACCCACCCTTTTGTCTTCAGCCGCCATGTGAAGAAGCACCAAAACGGGGACTGCTTCGAAGAGGAGAAGAAGGGCCAAGGGGCAACCTCCAAGGAAGCCGGCCCTCTCCTAGCTGCCAACAGCCCCCAGAGCCTCTTGTCGCCTCTCTCGGTGATGTCTGCCTCCCAGGCGCTGCAGACAGTGGCCATGTCGGCTGCCCACGGCGGCGGGGCAGAGCCAAACCTGGCACTTAAGGCCTTGGCCATCAATGGCACTTCCCTGTGCTTTGACAAGTACCGGAACTCTGAATTTGCCCACCTCATTCCCTTAACCATGTTTTTCCCCAAGAACCACTTTGAGATCACATTCCATGCGCCCAGGCCACAGACTGTACGGCCGGACGACACTTCGCCGAAGCACTCCTTCCTTGCCTACCTTGGACTAACAGAGAGGGCAGAAACTGTCTGAGGGCAGCCAAGTACTGTACCAAAAAAATAATACTCTCCGCCCACCCACCCCCACCCCCCAACAGACACCCAACAGGTATATGCATTGCTGCAAACCATACACCAGGAGGTATGGCTGGCTGAACATTTGTACTATAGATCATTAGTAGTAAGGTATAGGATAAAAATGGCTCTGTGTGTCTCCTTAAATGCATTGACATGAAGGCTGCTTTATTAAAACTCTTCAGAGAAGTGACCTCCCGCATACCTTCAGAGGCATGTTCCCAGTACTCTTATCTAAGAAACTATTTTGTCTTGTTTAAGCTGAACAAGAGCGCCCTTAAAGGCAATCAGCACTTGCTTAAGGTTACATATTGATGCATTTTCCTTTTGAGATGGTGAGTGTGAGCGTGTCTGAAGGGAGAGTCAGTGTGCCATGACATTGCTTTTGCACATCCTTTTGTACTGGCTTATTTAATATGAACACACTGCCTTATATACTGAGTCGGATCAGTGCTCCACCTATCCCAGTAACGTCCACTCTGACAGGCAGCCGTTCTCCGGGGTCTCAGGCAGGGGTCCTCCCCAGCCCACCTGCTCTGTGGGATTATTTAACTGGAGAATGCTGAAGATTGAACCTGGGACATTTATACATGCAACGCATGTGCTCTACCACTGAGCTGCAGCCCCCTCCTCTTGTGATGATTGTTGCAGTTCTCCAGTCTCATCACCTTGCCTGCCTAGCTTTATTTTACAGTTACTGGAATGCGGATACAGCAATGCTAGGTTCGAGAAGAACTGGCATGCCAGTCAGCACTACTTGGGATTTGCTTAGTATACTATAGTGTTTGCTTTGGCCTCAGATCTGAGAATTCAAGGATGAACTAGAGGAGCAGGAATTGCTTCTAGCTCTGCAAGGTTAAGGCTGTTTTACATGGTACATTTCCCCCAGCTGGCAGTAATAATATCTGTGTAGGCAAATGCATGGGCACTGTAGTGTTGGGCATGTAATGTGGTTTTACTCGGTGTACATGGACTGAGTAGACACTGTGCATACAGGCTGCCTCTTCCCTGCCCCCCGCAAAGCACTCCTACCACCCTTGAAATGTTACAGTGAACATGCATATTCCACCACAGAGATGAGATTTTTTTTCCTTCGTAGAGATAATGTATGAAGTGGCCCTGAACACACATGAGTGAACAGACACTTGGTGCAGATCAGGGTGGTGGAATCTGCAACCCTCCATCTGTTGTTAGACTCGTCTCTCATTGTACTCCAGCAAACATGGCCAGGGATGATGGGAGTTGTAGTCCAGCAACCTCTGGAGAGCCCAAGATTCCCATTCCTGGTGCAGACAGACCTGTAAACAGCAAGTGCAATTCATACACGCACAAGGTCAGATACTTCTGTAACTCAGGGCCACTTCTTACAATAAGTTTTGTATTTGAGTACAGCTTTCCAAGTAACAGTTTTAAATGGGGCACATGTATTGCATTTAAATCACTGCTTTTCTTTGTGAAATAACTCGAGTCAGGAATCTGATCATTTCCCCATCATGTTTCTGTCTCGTTCGCTGGGAAGAGATGTGATTTAAACACACGTGCACCATTCAAAACTGATGTAAGGTCAATAAAAAAAGTATCTCATACCAAGAAGCCCTTTTGATCATAGATCAAACATACACATTCTCAGTATGTATTAATGCAGTGATTACCTTGGTTTGCAAAGACAAGAGTGTACATTCTACAGAGATTAAATCCAGGAATAGGGATTTTTAAAAGGAAGGGTTTGCTATATTCTGGGTATAAATGCTCAGACTAAATAAAGGCAGGTTTTGCACAGTGCTTGAGTCTTGCACTAGTATGTTTCTCACTTGCAAAAAAAAAAAGGTAAGAAAAGAAAAAGTGTAGAAGATTTAAAAAAAACTTTTGTCGACTGAAGAATTATCAGATTGTATATTTGAAAAGTTAATGGCGGAGCCTTCTCAACATAAGAATGGTGCTTTTTAATCATATTATTCTGTTCTATATCCCCAACTGTTCAGCTATATTTTCAGATTTTGTGTCCCTATGAACATTACCCTTCATGTTATTTGTATTCCTTTGTATTATTTTGTTAATGCCTACTTAAGTATACTCTTCTAGGAAGCTAACTTTATATTTTCTTAAAGCTCTTACTTTGTGGTCATTAAAATGACATAAATATTGCACTTTATTGCAGTAAGAAGCAAATGTTGCATTCCTAATACACAATCGAAGTCAATTGTTAACTTTTCCCAAGATTTAACTTTTCTCTTGCCCATGCACTGACATTTATTACGTATCATTATCACATACAGTTTCCCCCACTGAACATGTACGTGAGAATAAGTCCAGATCTGTGTACGTGTTCAAAGACCAGAAACTGTTTACATTGGATGACAAAGAGGAAAGGAACCTAAATATTAGCAAGCTATAATACTAATGTAAAGTAACTACAATCAAAATAATGAGAGCCTGCACATGAGCTTAAACAGCATGTGGCCTCCCCTAATTCAGCTACTATGGTAAAGTAAGTCATTATATTAGTTGTTCCTAACACATGTTGAGCCCTGTTTATTGCACTTAACTCTGCTAAAACTACCCTTTGGGATTCATCCTTTGTTTTTTTGACAAACAAATGTTTTCAGATAAGGTCAGTACAGTGTCATGAATTGTGGCATTCCATCCTAAGATGTGGTGGTGACTTTTGCTAGTCGCTGTCATGCTGTCACTTGGTAGGTGGTACAAGGTACACCACCAGCACCATGCAAATCTTAGAAATCAGGTTGGCACACACACACACACACACACACACACACACACACACACACACAATGGTTTGATTTCCCATCATTCTGAGCAATTTTTTGCAGGTTTGGAGACTACCCATGTCTGATGTAACCATTTATTTAACTGCAGTCCTGCCACTGGATTGAATGGGCTCCATTATTTCCTCTGCTAGGAATTTTAAGAGAAGCTGCGATGCTGAAGCAGGACTTACTTGCTAGTCAATAATGTGTAATTAAGAATGGGATAAATATCTTTTTGGTGGAAATCAAGGAACTTCTCCCCCTATAGGCAGTTGCTGCAGTTAAGTAACTAAATATACCCAATACGGTTCTGGTCAGATTTGTCCAAACTGTCAAGCAGTGAGTCTTTTTTTTAAAGGCAGGGTAGTGGGAGAGAGACCAAGCAGTTTGTCAGCTGGAACACAAGCATAGGAATGTTAAAGGAATATTTTCTGTAAACCAAATGGTGCAATATAACATAGGAACTTCAAGGAATGAAAGTATTACAATGCTCTAAGCAACTGAATGCCTTGGGTTTAACCATTTCCTTTTTGTATTTGTCTGTCATAGTGATGCTTAATGTAATTGGGCAGCTTTATTTAGCACTTTGAAACACTGAATTATTTCTGGAAAGTTAGTTATACATGATTTCCAAATAAGAGAGAGAGAGATGCATCAGAAAGTGTTTTTATTTTTTTAAGGGGGAAAAATACAGTATTTATCAAAGCCCTTGCATATACAATAATTGGTTTGCTGTTTGAAGCTAAAGAAAGGAATGCTCCCTACAGATATCCTTTGCTTGTTAAAAGACTTCACATTTCTACCAACATGCTCACTTTGTATCTGCTTTTCTCACTATGCATTCTTTAAGATAGGCTGGTTTCTTGTTTTCCATCTAGTAATTTGCTTACATTCTCAGCACTTTTCTCGCTTCCCCTCTCCGACCTTTCTAACTTGCTGTATCATATTCAAATATCACAGTCAAGGTTTGTGTACATTAATGGAAATTTGTATTGTATAAAGCTTTTTGCATTATAAGGCTGTACAGGGTCATTTTGACAGTAACTGGTATATTTCTTTGCATCTTACGTTGCATTGCCAATTTCTAGTGTATCCAGTTTGGAAGTATATATACTCTAATTAAAAAACAAAGTTGGCTATACTCTGGCATCATGTGTGTCTCTCTTTCCCATTGTTTCATTATTGGGTGTGCAGAGAATAAGGAATTTAGAAGGGAGACCTAAAACAAAATGTTGCAGTACGGAGTGATTACTTCACAGGACTCGGCTATTTTGTTCTCATCCCCGGGTTTCCATTTTCCCTCCTCCCAACTGTCAAGACAGCATTCTGTGGTCCAAAGCATGCTGAGTCCTCATTGGGCAGTTTTTCTGTCCCACCCACACTTGCAAGCCAAAGTTTCCCCCCTAAAGATTAGTTGTACTTCTGAAAACCTTGGAGTTTGCCCAAACCAGGTGATGCCTCTCTTTTGGGTATGGGTGGTGATGTTTTGGATCCACAAGCAATAGCACTTCAAGCCCAAATGTTGAAAACAGAGCAGATGCTGTTAAATGCTGGTGGGGAAAGTTGGTAATGCCTGTCTAGCTAGAAGAACTAGGGAAACTGAAATAAAAAGTTAGCATAATACTACTTTGGCAGTGCTGTTCTGATAAATTCCTATTTATGTTTCCAGGGTTACTTGGTGCTTCAGTTTAAATTGAGACACGGTGAATGTGTTGCTAGGAATAGATCATGCAACAGGCTCCAGGGACAGTGTTGTCTTTTTAAACCTTTTCTATGCATAATTCAGACTGCTGGTTTATCATCTATAAAGCCCTGTAGAATTTATGCCAATGCTTGAATTACAAGTTAAAATACATTCATATAGGCATATAACTAAGGCCACAAAAGTTCCTAGCCTGCAAAAAAATTGGTAGCTTGTGGACTGACTCCCTCCTCCAACAACAGCCCATTTGGTTTCTATCCTGGGTGTGGAGGAGTGATGGGGTCCTCTGTTCAACCTCTGCATGTTCACTAAATGTGCAGTCCCTTGTCACAAATGGCTACTGGGTGGGGGATTAACTATCAGGCTGCACTACCATGGTTTACATTACAGTAAAGCAGTGAAATATGCTTCCTTTATGTTTCAGAAATAATTCCTGGAAACATCTTCTATTAATATTTAAAGGTAGTAGCTACTACTGCATCATTCTCCTTAAAAAGAAAAGCTACCAAAGATTATGTTTCTGCTCTAAATAATAGTAGCTTGGAGGAAGCTGAAGGTGTTCCTCCTAAACCCTTTTTCCCCTCCTCAAGCTGCTTTTTTCAGCCCAGCTTCTGTTTCTTAATCCATAAATTTACACCGATGATTCATAAGAACATAACAAATAGTGCCGCGCTAAAGGTTCTGAACAGGGTTGAGGAACCTGTGATTCTCGAGGGCATGTTGTGTTACCCATCAGCCCCAGCCAACATGGCCAATGGGCAGGAATAATTTGATTCATATCCAGCAGCACCTGCAGGGCCACATGTTCTCCATCCCTGGTTTAGAACATCTGGTTCTGGAACCAAAAAATACATATGATCTCTTGAAGGAATTGCTCAGGGCAAGGGAAAACGTTTCTCTATAACCAAGCCCTTGGCTGATTGAACAATCTATGGCCTCTTAAATGTGTTTGTTGTTTATCCCCCAGAGAGTGGGCGAGGGTGCTTTCACTTGATGTGCATGACCTGATTTGTTTTCCCACACCAGCAACACTCCCTACCAACTCCTTTTCAGAAAGCTGTCATCAGTGCATGCACACAAGGCTGTCTGAACTGTACACACATCCGCTTAACCTCAGCTTGCGTTTTCACATAGCATGGAGGCCGGGTTTTTTGGGGGGGGGAGAAACACATCAAAGGGGAGCATTTCTCAAGAAACTTCAGGACACAGATGGATTGTGGCTAACTAGCAGTGGAAGCACATTGGAAGCAGAGTAGATAGTAATGTGCAAATACTCTGAAAGAGCTTCTTGTGTGGACAAGTACTTTATCAACAAGGTTAAACCAGAATGAATTCACAATTCCAGCCCCATCCCCCAGTATCAATGCATTTTCTAGACATGCAGTAAAGCTTCTCCACCTGCAAGGACTATTCCAATGCATTTCATATAATTGGTATGAACATTTCTAAATGGATGTGAATGTGCTCCCCTCCTGCTAATGAAATTAACAAAACCCATGCGCAGAAGAAATCAGTGTGTGCATCAGAGCACACACGAATCTCTGGAGCAAATTTTAAAAAGGCAAATTCCTTACTGTCTCTTGAAATCTGCTGGTACCACCAGTATCTGCTGGTACTATTATTGTAAGATTTCTTTTTCCTGGACTAAACACCCCCCTCCCTCCCAGGTACCATATATGCTCTTTTTGAGTGAATACTGCAACACATTTTATGGGGTTTCTTCCATGTTTGGACCTTGCTTCTCCAGGAGTTGGTAACTGATTCAAAGAAACATGGATCTGGCTCCAGTTTAGGCATGGCCATACCTGCACAGTCAGTTGAGGTCAGGAAGATCTTGAGTCACCTTTTCCATGATTTGCAACCCCTGAAACAAATGAGATGGAAAATGCCATTCAGCGTACAGGTTCGCTTGTAAATAAATATCCATGGATGTTCAGCAGAACATCCATGGATAGGACAGGACAGAAAAGAAAAGGCAAATTTACATATTTTTTTAATAGATCTGAAAGAGTCTTCAAACTTGCTCAATTTTTAATTGGGTGTCTTTTTCTCCTGCCACTAAGGCCCAGTTGTTCAGTCATAGAATCATAGAACTGTAGTGTTGGAAGGGACCACAAGGGTCATGTAGTCCAACTCCCTGCAATGCAGGAATCTTTCACCCAACATGGGGCTCGAACCCACAACCCCAGGATTAAGAGTCTCATGCTCCACCCACTGAGCTATCCAGAGGGTTTTTAGGATATGTTCTATTCCATTAAGATTGCACGGAAGAAGAGAGAGTAGGCCATGACCCCTGATCCCAGCTCCTGCCAACCCCTTTCCCAAAACATCTCACACATTGGAGAGATGTATTCAATGGGGAGTGGTGCTGATTGTGCAAAGGCTGGAACTTATGCAGGCGCATGACCCCCTTATCAGCCCTTGTCAATGGTGGCTGGCTGTAGCAGTGTGCATTGCTTCCGTGCCTGCTGCGACCTTTTATCTCCTTAGGAGATGGATTCAGTAACAAAACACATAATACATGGCATTCATAGAGCACTTCAATTCCATTAATGCCACCATGTTAGGGTTTCTCTGGAAGATTATTTTATTATTATTATTATTATTATTATTATTATTATTATTATTATTGGTGCGGGTGGCGCTGTGGGTTAAATCACAGAGCCTAGGGCTTGCCGATCAGAAGGTCGGCGGTTTGAATTCCCATGACGGGGTGAGCTTCTGTTGCTCAGTCCCAGCTCCTGCCAACCTAGCAGTTCGAAAGCACAAAGTGCAAGTAGGTAAATAGGTACCGCTCCGGCAGGAAGGTAAACATTTCCGTGCACTGCTCTGGTTCGCCAGAAGCAGCTTAGTCATGCTGGCCACATGACCCGGAAGCTATACGCTGGCTCCCTCAGCCAGTAAAGTGAGATGAGCACCGCAACCCCAGAGTCGTCCGTGACTCTACCTAACGGTCAGGGGTCCCTTTACCTTTTATTATTTATTTAACTACACTCAGAAGCTGCACTTGATATACTTAGAATCATAGAGTTGGAAGAGACCACAAGGGCCATCGAGTCCAACCCCCTGCCAAGCAGGAAACTTAAGTAAACTTAAGTAAAGCTTCTACTGGCTTTGATGGTGATTAGGGTCCAGCAAAGCAGGGATGGCGAACCTTAGCCAGCCTCCATCTATCTGCCAGCAAGTGGCTGTCAGCTTCCTCCTCCTCAGTCTCAATGCTGCCCCTTGTACGACTCAGCAGGGAGCAGGATGGGAACAAAACTAGATTTGAATTGACTTTGCCTGTATAACTCCCTCTCGGCCTCGCTGATGTGGTCCAAAGGAAAGTCGAGCAATACATTTGGCACCAGCTTGGCTGCAGGAGTTGCCTGAAGGAGGCATGCAAGGCGACATCCAACTGTCTTAGGAACTCCACTGGATACAATCCATAGCTTGCAAAGACCTGTACTTACCATTGAATCGGAACTCCCAGTCACAGGCCACCCAGTCAGAATATCCTGACTTGCAGTTGATGGCGTCCCCGTTTTTATTCCAGTTTGGTTCCCTATAATTAACGGGGGGGGGGGGGGAATAAAAAGTAAAAGCAAAAGCTGGAAATTTTGCCATGGGAAAATGAAAAAAACCCAAAAAACCTTCCACCAATTAAAGGAATCTGGAGTGCTCACCGTTTACCCTGGGGTATTTCATCGCCTGCTGAATTTCATTCAGTGGTACTGCTGGTGATGGAACAACGACTGCATTATGATTCATCTGTATATATTTTTTCAAAGGAATTGAACATAAGGTGATGAGATTGTAAAGTTGCATCAGTTATAAATAACCTGCCTGCCTATACAGCTGGGCACCCTCTTTGCCATTACTGTTTTGTTTGCCATGAATTGTATCCTGGACATCGGTGAGCTAGCAACATTTGGAGCCATTGGATAAATTCCAGGTGTTAAATTTCTAGAACGAGAGGCACCAGCACTTGAGCTTGGCTGGAAGTCACCATTTCTGACCTATCAGCTCTCCCAGTGGATGCTTGAGGTGGAGTGACAGGATGCACTTACGGGAAGCACACTCTGTGCATGCTGAAGGCCACTCTCCTGGGTTACGTTCCGCATCCTGGAACTGAGCTCTGCCTCAACAGCAGCCCCGCAAACCTCACTTTCTAAAATAAACTACAATCCCATTAGTTGAAGTTGAAATATTGCGAGTACTGAACACAAACACATCCCATTGTTTCCATGCTCTGCTTCCTCCTCTCACATGGAGAAAACAGTAATTATTCTCCTGGCAGAAACACCCTCTCTGTTGTCAGAGCTTAATTTGAGAGATGGCTCACTAGAACTTGGTCCCAATATCAGCATGTTATGCCAGGATGCACATATACCTTCAGGGTATTTGTGATATAATTGCCCTCCATGTGGAAGGTGGTTTGCAGGGGCACCAAAGGGCAGGTCCCTGCCCTGGGGAGCTTGCAATCATACCGAACAGAGGTGAGGAACCTTTGCCTTGTTGGTTATTGTTGAACTGCAACTCCCATCACCCATCAAAGATTGCCAATAGCCAGGGATGATGGGAGTTGTACGCAGCAACATTTGAGAGACGGGTAGGCTCCCGACACCTGCTCTAGAACATGTAAGGAGATAGGCTCATGCATTTGCAGTGATGTGCCCAGCTTAAGGCACATTTTCCAGCCTCTTCTTTCTGGGCACTGCTTCTTAATAGTGCATGCAAATACAAGCCTTTCTTTTTTAAAATAAAAAATAAAAAAAAATCTTAGTGTTATGTACTGAGTTGAATAGGATCCAAAATGCAGCAGTCTGATTGGTCCTAGAAAAATAGGGTCCAAAATGCAGCAGTCTGATTGGTCCTAGAACAATAGGATTCAGAATGCAGCAGTCTGGTTGGTCCTAGAACAATGTAGCAATATGATTGGTCTGCAGGAGCCACCCAATCCAGCTCCAGATGGAAGTGAATCCACAACCTTATTGGCCTACAGGAGAATTCTGGAATTAGCCAATCACATTCAGTCCATTGTGTAATTAATGTACATAAAGCAGATACTTTGGGGGAACTTTCATTCCTCACTACTATGAGCTGAATAAAGAGCATGAAATCCACACTCGACTCCGAGTATATTTCACTCAGGATAATGGGTCTTCTTCTTTGCTCTATAGTAGTGCTAGACCCAATCCTGCAGCAGCAGAGTCTTCCCTGTAGGATGTAATAGAAGCATTGCTGCAAGAGAGAAAGCTTGCTTGCTTCTGTGAAGTGTTTGTGAGAGAGAGCGTGCATGCAAAGGAGAGAGGTGTGTAGCCTAAGTGCTAGAAAGGGGGTGTGCCCATTTGACCAAAGGATTTTTATTTTTAAAAAATGTATGTTAATAAACAAGAAGGCAATCCTCGAAATGGCAGGGCATCGCTGCAGGGGTTAATAAAATGAAATATAACTACCCAAAAATGAAAGGGTTGCAAAAAACGTTTATAGATTAAAATGAGTAAGTAGCGCGGTGACCTTTATCAAACAAGTGAAGTGGGAGGGGAAGGAACTGTGTGTTGTTATTAATGATGTCACAAGCACAATCCAGTAAATCACGGATGGGGAAACTGTAGCCTCACCCCACCAGCTATTATTGGACTCCCACTCCCACCAGCCACAGCCAGCATGGCCAGTGGGCAGGAATGTTGGGAGTTGTAGTCCAGCAACATTTGGAGTGCCACAGGTTCCCTACCTCTTAAGTAGCCACTCAAACACTTCTACACCTACGTTTAACTACTGCTGGTGGGAGGAGGGTTAAAAGCTGGTTTGCCACTAAGAGGAAAGCAGGGGGAGAATAACATTTTCCACATTTCAAAAAATGCATCATGTGTACAAGCAATTTAGACCATCCTGCAGGTGCCTGCAGATTTACACCAGCCTTTGCCAACTCCAGCTGTTTTTGGACTACAACTCCCATCAGCCTCAAGCAGCATGTGCCAGCTGAGGCTGATGGGAGTTGTAGTCCAAAAAAGCTGGAGGGCTCCATTTTGGCAACAACTGCTTCACCTTGTCAAGTCAGTGCTCAACCACCTAAGCCACACATTGCTAGGTCACTTTCACACTACAGCAGAAGGAGCAGCATCTGTGAGCACATCCCCTTATAAAGCTGGCACCCAAAGATCCAAGACTTGGCCATGAAATAAGTCAAAATCTCACATAAACTGGAACACACACTGTCTTCATCACTCAATATGCCAATTCTCGCCCCACTTTACTTTGTGGCCACTAGAGAATAAAAAGCCAACCACATTTCAAGGGAATCCTGCTGGAGTCAATAGGATTATTTCTGCGATACATGGCTGGAAGACTGCAGGCTCATTATTCTGCATTTTTGCTCGTATCCTCTATGCAATTTTCACTAGCTTCCCTGCTTCAGAATGCTCAGGCGTAGACAATCAGAGGCAAAGGGGGAAGAAAGAATTGCTATATTGGCCTTGCATGTCATGCCTTCCAACACGACAAGTCTTCACTGGGCAGTGGATGCACTTCTAAGGTTCAGGATGAAATTACACAACATAGGTGTGAATGTGTGCAATGAAACACTTATTTGGGAGAGAAGCTATGGCAGGAGGAGGTACTCAATCTGTCTAACACCCAGTGCTTTTTTTCTAGAAAAATAGGTGCCGGTACTCACCATGAAGTTGTTACAGTAAGTGCCACACTTTTTAACAACAACAAAAAGAGATGTCAGTAATACATACCCTTGAGTACCCCCCCGGGGGGGGGGAGCACTGCTAGCACCCATCACATTCCTTGCAACCCCCAGGGAATTCCAGCCTCTTGTTGAAAGAAAAAAAAACCCAACCACCCATATCTGGAACTCCTAATATCTGCTTTTCTCAAGAAGTGGCTTCATGCTGTGTGTATGTGTGCTCCCGTTCACATCCATTTGCACATCATGAGTAGTTGGTCCTCAAGCGACACATTCACAAACACACAAATATCTAGTGCTCTACTCACTTGTTGGGAATGGTGTTGAAATTTCTTCCTGTTACTTGAAGACTTTAAGAAACTTGGATGACAGCCTAGAGGGGACAAACAGGAAAAAGATTTTCCCTCCACAGGGAATTTCCCTGAATCCAATTTTTTTACAAATGACAAGGCATGACACAACTGCTTTTCATTCATAAGTGAAACATGCATAGAGTTAGATCAGAGGCAAGCATAACCTGGATGGAAAAGTAATCTCAGTTATTGGATATTCTCAATTCTCTTCTCTAGATACCTGCTTTTGTCTACCTTGTGTAGAGTGGCCACTTATGCATTGCAAAAAAATAAAAGAAAATAAAAAGAAAATGTAGCACCAAGGGAAAAGAAAGAAGTGGATAGGTATTTGCATATGTTAATATATATGCACATGTATGAATAATTGCGATAATTTTGACAAAAATAGACCAAGATACAGAAGATAGATAGTCACATACATTACTATCAGGTGAGCATGATAAAATGCACATCTGATTTTTCATAAGTCCTCTTTGTGAAAGAAATTAGGGGCAGGCAAGTTAGGTGAGAACTTGTAATGTCAAGACTGGTGATGCACTGAGCATAGAGGTCAGTGGGCTCAGGGGGGGCCTGTCTTGGGCTGTCTATTCTGATATCCCCTCAACAAGCTGTAGCAAAAGTTAGTACAGTTTTGTTTTCCCTTGTGAAGCTGGCAGTTAACTTGTGCGGCCACTGCTGCATTAAAGTTCTTCTCTTTCTCTCACATGCAGGAAAATTTACAACATCAGTCAGTGCGCATTCAAGAAACACCATCAGTGGGAATGATTACAATAAAATTTGTGAATATTATGTTCATTGTCTTATGCGACAGAGATAAATGTGTGGAAACTCCGCATCAAAATCATGGAGCAGATAGAAGTTGAACAAATGGGGGAAAGTTTATCATCTGACCTCCAAATCACCAAATAATCTATCCCTCCTAATTCGGCACTTGCCTTATTATCACTAGATTTGACCCCAAAATCCACCCTTAACTCTAAAGAATTAATTTCCTTCCTGTTCACAACAGCTAGACTAGTTATTGCCCAACAATGGAAGGGAACCTCTAATATTAACCCAAGCCTCTGTTGGTATAACATCTGGAGTATTACTCTATCAGAACGCCTCACAGACCATTGGCGACAAATCAAAGGCATCTCCGAAAAAGATACCTTTGATATAATCTGGTCTCCCTTTTTCTCTTTTATTGAAGAAGAACAGGATATTTTAATTCCATCAGCATCAGGTGTCTGTGGAGGGGATATATTCATTGAAAATGTTGTATTGTAACTTTTGAATAAATGTGTGTGGTTTTTTTAATTTTAAAAAAGATATCGAAGAATTAGAGGCCACCAAAGAAGACCTCCCTTTGTCTAGGGCTGGCCTAGCCACTCTCTTCTACTTACAATCCCATGTGAATAACAAGTGAGAGTGTCACCTCTAAATGCATCCTTGCATGCATCTATGTGGCACAGTCAATAAATAGCTGGGTGTGCATCTGAGAGCTTCCACTCTCTGATAAGCATGAATTTCAATGGGCAGCCTTGGATAAGAAACATTTCCTCAGTCTAATGTCCCTCACAAGGCTGTTGTGACGTGAGAGTGAAAGCCTCCCATGTGCCACACATTAATGCAACAGGGACAGATAGCTCTGTGAACAGAGCTTTCCAAGTTACTCAGCTGAATTATTCTGGCTGGTTTTGGAACGAGCATTGCTCTATGGCACCATCTAGAGGTTGCCTGCCAGCACAGCACACCACAGCTGCTGCCAGCTGTATACACTGCTATCCAACATATTTATACAGTGGTATCTTGGGTTAAGTACTTAATTCGTTCCAGAGGTCCGTTCTTAACCTGAAACTGTTCTTAACCTGAAGCACCACTTTAGCCTATGGGGCCTCCTGCTGCCGCTGCGCTGCCAGAGCCCGATTTCTGTTCTTATCCTAAAGCAAAGTTCTTAACCTGAAGCACTATTTCTGGGTTAGCGGAGTGTGTAACCTGAAGTGTATGTAACCTGAAGCGTATGTAACCTGAGGTATCACTGTATCTCCCTTCATATTTCTCTTATGTGTCCAGCTGTTTACAAAGACTTCTCTCGCCCAGAAAGTTTCTTCTTGGTTTTCCCAGCTGCATCGTGAATTGATGTTTTAAAGCCCGATTACAAAACCCCCTCATTTGCTACAAAATCATAGGAGTCACGCCTCTTTCTTTTTACCCTTGTCGGTTGTCGCACCATGTTTAGGATTGCCGTAGTTTCCAGAAAGATAATGAAGCCGGTTTATCAAAAACACTCTGGAGAAAACACAAAAGGAAATATGAACTCATGTAGAAATTACTGGAAGGAAAAGTGAGACGTGAACTCTACATAAGGGCTAGACATTTGAGTACGATGTTTTTTATTAATTTTATCCAATTTATATTGTGTCCTCCCCCCCTGAAGAAGGCCAGGGAGCCAATAATGAAACCATTCTAAAAAATGTTCTCTCAAGCAGAGATCTCAGGGTTGCCATGACCAGTGTCCTTCAAACCTTAAATGAATGGATAAACCAGAATGTTTTTAAATTCCTCCTGAAAGTCAGTGATGAGGGAGAATGACATACTTCACCAGGGATGGCAATCCACAAACAGCCACCAAAAAGGCCTTGTCACAGGTCAACCAGACAACACCCAATGGACATACAGCCAAGGAAGCCTCACCTGCTGATCGTAGGGTCCGAGATAGCTGGTTTTGGGGACAGGCATACTTTTAGGTACTCGGGTCCCAACAAGCTATTAAGGGCTTTATATACTAGTACTAGCACCATAAATTAGGCCCAGAAGCTCACTGACAGGGCCAAGGCAAGACATTTTGCTGCCTGAGGTAAAGTTGGAAATGACCCCAACAAATCAAGGTGTCTATAGTACCCAACACCAGCCAGGTTATTTTGGTACCTGAGGCAGAAAATCTCACCATGCAACTCTCCATACCCTGGAAGTAAATATATAATAATAGTAAATTAAATACCTTTACATTTAGCTGCCCTTTCATGACACCCACGATCAGCTGCCTCAGTCTGCCTAGTTATATGGCAGTTATAGCTACCTTACAGTTCACATTTGAAGGAGAACCTAAGCAAGTCGCTTTCTGAAACCCTACACACTCTGAAACACAGCCAGCCCTCAAAATTCAGACTTCTGTTAATTTTGCAATGCTGTTCTACATGCAAACAATGTGTACACATATGGTCATACACAATATGCACACAAATGCCTTTATTACTGGAAAGAACATACTGAAATACATTATATGAAGCAAAACTGTGTATATGAAGTAAAACTGCATACAAAATTGTGATATTGGGAAGTATTGGCACTGATAGGCCTATGAATTGTCATGGGGATTTTTAAAAATTTGCAAACTGATGAGAAAATGTAGAGAATGGAGTTTTAAGACTGGAAGAACAAGAAACCAAAATTATCAGATTCACCCACTTACAGGCTGAAGGACAGATATAGGACACCACAGGATAACAGAGGCATTCACATCCTACTTTCTCTGCAAGAGTATTTCTTAACTTGTGAACAGGCAAGAGAACAGAACACCCCAGAACAGAGCAACGGCTCTGTTGGAATGACAGAAGAATCACATTGGAGGCTAAGCTGGAAGAAGGAAAATCCAGACTGACATCTGAAGGGCTTGAAAATACATAAAATCGCTAACCCTGAAGACATGATAGATTGGATAATGTGCAGTCTGGATGCTTGCCAGATCAATATTTAAAATGCAAGAAACGCTGTGAAGAGCTACAGCAACAGAAAAGGCATTACCATCAATTCAGAAGTAGTTTCACTCCCTCGCCTTTCCCACAAATTATGCCCAGCCAAGGAACATAATTTGCTGCTTGGAGTTCCCCCTGACCTGTGGAATGGTAGTATAATATCTGTTTGTCTGGCTATGAGTAATATTAATGGAGGGCTTCTAGAGGGTGGGCAAGGAGGGCAAAGTATATATGGAGTTCACCGCAGCTTGAGATACTTTTAACTAGTGCAGTAGGCTACAAGGGGCAGGGCATCACTGCTGCTCCATTGCAGCAGTAACATCCATTCCTATTTATCTTAAAAGCTTATAGAGGCAGTTTATAGAGGAGCGGTGAATTCTGCGCACGCACATGTGCGCACACACACACACTCTCCCTCTGGTCACACCCTTCCAATACAGAGGGTTTTGGTTTTTGTTTGGAAGGATAGGTATGACTACGGTGCTGTGCCATCTCCCTGGAGAGGTCTGTGAAACTATAGTGTTCCAAAATTAAGGAAACTTAACTATGTACAACAGGAGTGTTTTATAGTGGCAGACCCTCTCAGTGGTCCAGAGAGGCCAGGGCTACTTCTGAAGCCCCTGCGGCCATAATAAAGTTAAAAAAATGATAAGCACAGAGAAACAAAATAATGCACCCCAAAACAAGAGTGGTTTGTTTCTATATTCAGGTTGGATTATATTGTGCTTGGGGTCCCTTTCTACTCTATAATTCTGTTATTAGACTGTCTCGCCGGAGTGGTGCATGCTTCATTTAACACTGGTCCTGAAAGACCTACATTGGCTCCCAGTACGTTTTTGAGCACAATTCAAAGTGTTGGTGCTGACCTTTAAAGCCCTAAATGGCCTTGGCCCAGTATACCTGAAGGAGCGTCTCCACCCCGATCGTTCAGCCCAGACACTGAGGTCCAGCACCAAGGGACTTCTGGCAGGTCCTTCACTGCAAGATGTGAGGTTTCAGGGAACCAGGCAGAGGGCCTTCTTGGTAGCGGCGTCCACCCTGTGGAATGCCCTCCCATCAGATGTCAAGGAAATAAACAACTATCTGGCTTTTAGAAGATATCTGAAGGCAGCCCTGTATCGGGAAATTTTTAATGTCTAATGTTCTACATTTTTTTATGTGCTGTAAGCAGGCTAGAGTGGCTGGGGAAACTCAGCCAGATGGGTGGGGTAAAAACATTATTATTATTATTATTATTATTATTATTACTTCTATGATCTGACAGGAGGTTCTACATCCCTGCCTTCAAAACGTAGATCACCTGGTTTCCTTAAGTGTCAGATTGAAAGCTATTTTAAAAATTATCCCAAGCTATGGTGGTCTGTTGTTTTATCTGACCATGGTGCTCTTTCAGTTTGTAATTATTTGCCTTGCTTTGATCATTGTCATCTTTCTTTTACAATCAGGAACCATTCTGAGAATTTCTAACGAAGAGAAGGATATCTAAATAAAACAAATGACTCTGCACTGAAACAGTGGAATCGTACAGAAAGGGCAAATACCAAGTGACCAGCCCTCTGGCAGGTGCAGGGCTGTTATGGAGAACGTTCCTCATAGGAGCAGCCTCTCCTACATGACTCTCTTATACAAGCATTTCCAGAGCAACATTGGATCCAGGCAGCTGCAGTGCCACACTCATACGAATCAGGCCTGTTTTCTCCCTGGTGCTATTTCAGGATTTGCTAATGGTCTGTATGGGACAGAAGTTTAGCTTACAGGAACTATGATGCTATAGGCTGCCACAACTGAGACCCCAAGCTCATCTATGTGTCTGTTTAAACCGTATTTTCGCTGATGGGCACAACGCCTATTTTCTGATCTGTCATATAGCAAATATGAGCAGCTGTTTTTCATTATAAGATGAAATTTGGCATAATGAGATCATTTTCTCCTTACTGACAGCATGTACATAAAATTTAAAAAACAAACAACACACACACACACACAGAGAGAGAGAATTAACTCTATTCTTACTCACAAGAAAGGATATCAAAGCACGACTCTTAAGCTGACCACCCAAGATCTTCCAAGATTTGAGGATTGCTTCACTGCTTGTTTAAATATATTCCACAACTGCTAGATTTGTTATTATAAGCACAAGATGCACTGCAAGTTTTTCTACCATCTATCATTAACTATAAATGATGCGCACAATTTTCTCAAGGCCTTCTCATTATACAGTTGGTGCCATTCCATTAACCATCTCTTCCCGCATTACTACTTGCACACAATTACTTTAGACACAGGACCATAATCAGCAAGTGGGAACCCTTTCAAATACTTAGTTTTTTGCAATGCACATGAATGCACATAATTCAAATCTGCAGAAAAAGCTCTTGCTGTTGGATGACATTTTTTTTTACCACCCTTGATTGGTGCTTTTTTCAAAGCGTCAAACTGGTTAGGCTTGATGGTCAATCTTGGATAGAAGGACCACTAGCTAGTATGGGCACACTCAGGATGTGCACGCATGATCTCTTGGTACTTAGTCAACAGAAGAGAATCAACAAATTAGAAGCTGGAGACAACCACAAAAGGAAACGCCTACTGGGATGAATGGGAGAGATTAAAGTTGCTTCTCAGATACAGATTCAAATGTTTGTGGGTCTAATTCAAATGGGGGAAAGGTGGATTAACAGCCAAATAATGCTCAAATGGGGACAGGACAGGCCTGTTGTTTTTTACCAAACCTGCTAATGTTCAGGATCTGGGATGAAAGCTTTCAAGTTACACATAATTCTTCAGTGCGAGATGAAAGCTGGACAAAACAAAAATAGGATTAAAAAAAAAAACTGCCACAGATCTCAGTGCTATCCCAGTGAATCTGAGAGCCTCGAATACAATCACTAGGTTGAAGAAAAACTATATTCTAGTGATATATGACAAACACAAACATTTTCAACAAATTAACAAGATCACATGGCCAAGACAAGTAAAATACTGCCTCAAGCATCCATTTGAACATCAGCAAAAATTGACTCACTGACACCTAACAATATAACACTGACTCACAAACTTTCACCCGATATTCTTAAGCCTCGAATGACAAATAAGACCTTGTTAGCTGTATGATGTTAATCCATATTTATCTCACTGACGTTAAATCGTTTTGTGAGGTAATGTGCTTTGTATCTCAGCAACCAACCAGCTGGACGTGTATCTAAGAGTTCCATGTTTGCTTTCAGACAGCACTAATTGGATCCAAAGCTGTATAGCAAGAAGCACAAATTAGGACAAACAACCAAACAGACATGTCAAAGGGAGGGATATCAAAGCCCAAGGTTAGTTGCTCATCCTTTCCACACCCTTCTAGATTTAGCTACCTGCCTGATGGGAGCATTTTTGCTTTCTTTACACACACACACACACACACACACACAGTGGTTAGGCCCAACTATTAGGGTGTCAAAGGCCAATTTCATGACAGCCAGTTATCTGCAGTTTTGTGCAGGAAATCTTTGGCTTGAAGTTTTACAGACAATCACTTTTACCAGTGCCAGACCAAGACTTTTTGCGGCTTAAGTACCACCCTTTTAAAAGGGAACAAGTCCTATTCAACTTAGCAGGATTTACTTGTGAGTAGACACACAGAAGATGGCACTGTCAAGACGATTCTTGCCTTCATCTTCTTCCCCCTGCCCTTTCTTCATGGGCCAGCTTTGACCTCCCTGTAAGAAAATGCTTACTCTGGAGGGTGAGGCTTGTGGACCCTTGTAGGAGAGGAGGGGGTAACGTGGCAATATGCAGAGCCATCCAGCTTTTTATTTCCATAAGCCCCAGAATAGGTGGTGGAGCAGCTGGCGTCTTCTTGCGTGTGCTGTTCCCAGGCTCGGCCTGCATGGCGTTTGATCTCTTCGAAAGCTTCAGAAGAAAGAGGGCTGAAGGGCAGCGTCAGCCCGGGAGCCAAGAACACATACTTGGCCATGTGGAGGCCTCCTTCAAAGCCAAACTGCAAGATTACGTAACTTTTAAGCAATTCTTTCTCCCTGCTGGTGTCAGTAACTTCACTTGCTTGTGTGGCCCGGCCTACTTAGAGGAAGGGGGGGCGGGGGGAGAAAGGCCTTGCTCTTGTTCATAAAGGTTGCTAAGCAACAGGTCCTGGAATCAGAAGCACTGTGTACATCAGATAAAGAAAAAAAGGCAGAGGGGCAAAAGAGTTTCAAAGAATAACCGATATCCAGCACAGGCGTCAGAGAGCGTGTTGACCTGCTCACAAGGAAATGTGAATAGGATCGTGCTCCAAAGCCCACCATGTTCAATGGAGCTGTGGGTTTCTTTGTCGCTGACTCCCCGTTTTACCACCTCCTCAGACATAGTGTCTTCCACTCCCAGCAGGTAGTTAATTTGGAGTTGACACTGCTCCTAGCTCCCTACTCACTATCACCAGTTTGGATTGGGCTCCCCACTTTAGCCCCTAAGGCAGGAGCGGAGGAATGTCTGGCTTATGGGTTGGTTTGGGCCCACATCCTGCCATCCTGTCCCCTGTCCCTTCTCACACAGTAACTAAGCACAGGGGGGAACATTTCCCATTGGATAGCTAGCATAGCTCAGTTGATGGAAGCATGAGACTCTTAAGCTCAGGGTTGTGGGTTCAAGTTCCACGCTTTGCAAAAGATTCCTGGGGGCTGGACTAGATGACCCTTGGGGAACCTTCCAGCTCTATGATAACAGTAAAAGGTAAAGGGACCCCTGACCATTAGGTCCAGTCATGTCTGACTCTGGGGTTGTGGTGCTCATCTTGCTTTATTGGCTGAGGGAGCCAGCGCACAGCTTCCGGGTCATGTGGTGGCCAGCATGACTAAGCCACTTCTGGCGAACCAGAGCAGCGCATGGAAACACTGTTTACCTTCCCGCCGGAGTGGTACCTATTTATCTACTTGCACTTTGACGTGCTTTTGAACTGCTAGGTGGGCAGGAGCAGGGACCGAGCAATGGGAGCTCACCCTGTTGCGGGGATTCGAACCACCAACCTTCTGATCAGCAAGTCCTAGGCTCTGTGGTTTAACAGTAGGAGCTTCCAATTTGCTGGAAGTTTATTTTCCCAGCAGTTGTGGAAAAATACGATGAATGAATACTCTCTTTTGCTGTGTGGGATGTTGGAGGGGTTAGAGGAAGTATGTGTGAGAGAAAGTGGGGGGCGGGGAGGGAGCATGTGTGAAAGATAAAAAGTGTTGGTGGTGATGATTTTGACACCATCACCATCCCTAGTCTTCCTTCCCTCCACCAAATAGCGACTTCTCAGACACTGGATTAAAGACACCACACAACTTTGGTTTTACTAAACCATCCTTTTCCATCCAGTCCCAAAAGGAAAGAAAAAAATGGGTTGCTTTTCAACAGATATTATCTGGTTACGTTTTCACAAAAGTGTTCTACTGTACCACTACTGTAAAAAAATAAAAATAAACGAACCAAACATTTAATAATATGGTTGTGTTTTTGGGGTTTTTTTGAGAATGGCCTTGTTTACTTTAGTACAGCATGGAAAACAAGAGTACAAAATGAAAATAAACACGCAAAGCAAGATGGGAGGTGAAAGAACACGAGCAAAGGATTAGAAAGGAAGAGAGTGTATGTGGCAGCACTACAGAAATAAGGAAGCAATACGCAGGAGGGCTAGACGTATTAAAGGCTACCCCAGCTTGTGTTACAGGAAGTAATGGATTTAGAAAGGTCCAGTGTAGATTAGATATAGCCGGGAGTGGAGGGAGAGGAACTTCCTTATAAGAACAACACTGACAATATAACAGCCAAACAATGGATCGTTCAAGCTCCTGAACTTGAAGGAGAAAAATGAGTTTTTATGTATGCAGTGCAGTAGCTAGCAGTTAACTATCAGGAAAATCATGTGCTTTAGAGCTTGTTATTTTATCCCAGTTGAAGCTCATCACTAGTTTGCATTGTTTGAGGTTCTTCTCCATGGTCTTTGTACTAAGTCTCCTTTTTTATAACTAATCTGAGGCACTGAAGCCTTGGTCCTTGGCACTAAAATACATCAGCAGGAACAAGAGTAATACTAGCCTGAAGAATCAGGGTCAGCATGTATGCAGCATAAGTAGACTGATCTTATGCATGCTTACTCCGCAGGAGCAACCTTTGCTATCAGTGAGGCACGTTCTCAAATATACAGGTATAGGATTGCAACCTAAGCATGAATGAAGACCCACATGTTCACCCTCATGACACAAATGGACCCTGTGCATGCCATCTGGGGCTGAAGGAATTGAGGTTCATGGGTTTGCAACACACTGGTGCAACGGTAGTTATGCGTCATCATGCTGCTGTAACAGATCTTGGGGTGAAACTCAAGGACTAACATGGTTGTACAATAAGTTGGCTTGCAAAAAGCATTATGTCCCTGTTATGCACACAAAGATTTGCGATCCTCTTTTAATCCCTATTATCTCTGAGCTGCTGTATAAACAGAATTAAGGACTTCTAAATTAAACTTATTAAAAATTATCCAATGTCTAATTCACTCTTACCCTTTTAATGGTACATTGTAATTAATAAAGTTCAAGCAGTTGGAAGTTTCGACCAATGAAGATGATTGGGCAAGTGCTGATAACTGAGGCAAAACATGACTGTGCTCACTGCTGATATTCTCTCTAGCATCCCCTGCAGATTAGAAATAAATTTGAATTAACAGTAAAGCACTTGCGTACCATTACAACTGCATACCTTTAAACATGCTGTAAATAAAAAGGATCGACTTCCATTTACAGAACATTTTTGTTACCAGGTAAAAGTGTGCAGATTCACTGAAGTAGAACAATTTATGCCTTAGGAAACTGTTTGTAATGTACAGGTAATTGGTGAAAATCAGGTCATGCACAAAGGTGAATGTTAAGATCTTTCTTTAAAAGCTTTGAGCAATAGGTCTGCAGCCAGCCCTGGAGAGAGAATTCCACTGACAACCTTTTCTTCCAGAAGTGGAATCTGATCTCTCACTGCCAAGTGACTCCGGAAATGATCCAGCATGCTTTCTTGGATTACATTCCACATCCACACTTTTTGCTGTCTCCTTCGTTTGGTCATCAACTCGCTGCTTGTAAGCATGAGGTCTCGGAATTCTGTCATCTTATCCCATATGTCAGAGATGCCTTCTCCAGTTTTGGCAGAGATTCGTATTACCTATCGGATTGAGAAGGTTTTTTTCAAGATGCAGGACAAATTAAGGCTATTAGTATTGACCTAAACATTAGTCCTTAGTAACTTATATTCTATAAAACCAGATTCAAACTGCAACAGGCAAGAGCTGCCTTTAAACAAAGTACCTGAAAATCCAAAACTGAATCTAAGCAAGTTTTTATGCTAAGGAACCAATCTTGGGCAGGCCAATGTAGACAAGCTAGTTAACCGATACAGTGGTACCTCGGGTTACATACGCTTCAGGTTACAGACTCCGCTAACCCAGAAATAGTGCTTCAGGTTAAGAACTTTGCTTCAGGATGAGAACAGAAATCGTGCTCCGGCGGCGTGGCGGCAGCAGGAGGCCCCATTAGCTAAAGTGGTGCTTCAGGTTAAGAACAGTTTCAGGTTAAGTATGGACCTCCGGAACAAATTAAGTACTTAACCCGAGGTACCACTGTAGAGTAGCTTTGTATGGTCCAACACTAAGAAAGTTATGAGCTACTTTTGGATCCAAAACAGGGCTTTAAAGGTCAGCACCAACACTTTGAATTGTGCTTGGAAACGTACTAAGAGCCAATGGAGATCTTTTAGGACCGGTGTTATATGGTCCGGCGGCCGCTCCCAGTCACCAGTCTAGCTGTCACATTCTGGATTAGTTGTCGTTCCCAAGTAAATTTCAAAGACATTATCCCTTTGCCTTTTGAAGTAACCTTTCAAAAAGCACATCTCCCAAAACTGAACCTTGGAGGGCTCAACTTTCTACATCCCTTCATTGTGAGAATTGTCCTCTGTTCCTGGTCTCTGCTTCTGCTTCCTTAGTCAGAAGAACCTCTTACTGCATGACTGCTAAGCTTACACAGGTGCCTTTGTTGCAGTACCAAATGTGGAAGAAAACTTTGGTACTTGAAGAACCAGGCAGTTTAAGCTAGTACTGTGCCTAGTGTAGTAATTTCTATAGCATTATCTTTCCTCACCTGTGTCTCGTATTTTTTCCTGGCTGAAGAGGAAAGGATTATTTTGGATGTACCAACCTTTGGGCTCCAAACCTTTGAGCGCTTACGGAGTAATTTCAGAGCACTGACGTATTCTGCTTGAATTCTCCGTGCTGGTACAACTAGATCTCCGTCAGCTTTGGTTACAGCAACAAGATCAGCCATCTCAATTATACCTCGTTTGATACCCTGAACAGAACAAAAAAAGAAAGTAACAGAAATCTCAGAGACACTGCCTATAACCAATTAATATCTCCCTCAAATACCCAAAGATCATTTTTAAAACAGAACAACTAGACTTTTAATTGCCATTTCCAGTAACACCCTGAGGACTAGATAAGTGAAGAGGGGCAGAAAGAGCCTTCACAAGCTTTTAAAAGGATTCCCATCAGATCTTTATATACACCTGAATGTGTGAATGTTTCATATTAGACATGTGAACTTAGTGGTCTAAACAAAGTTCACATGTCTATTATGAAACATTCACACATTCAGGTGTATATAAAGATCTGATGGTAAAAGAATTAATTCTAATGCATGCTAGCAAAGGTTTCCAAAAGCAGAAGTAGAGTTATCATTTTAAAGCCATTATAGGATTTCAACCTTGCCAGACAGAAATAGCTCTTAGCCCGAGTTGCACTCCTATAAAATGAAATCAAGAGTTTCATGTCTTTGCAGGTTTGTTCAGAGGACAAGCAAAATAAAATTGGAAAGCACTCTGTCTCCTAAGCATACACAAAAGCATTACAGGGGCACCTCAGGTTAAGAACTTAATTCATTCTGGAGGTCCGTTCTTAACCTGAAACTGTTCTTAACCTGAGGTACCACTTTAGCTAATGAGGCCTCCTGCTGCTGCTGCACCGCCACCGTGAGATTTCTGTTCTCATCCTGAAGCAAAGTTCTTAACCCAATGGACTATTTCTGGGTTAGCAGAGTCTGTAACTTGAAGTGTTTGTAACCTGAGGTACCACTGTAATAAAAATAATGAACTACTGCCCATTTGTATTATGACAGCTTTTTAGGAGGCATAAGGATTGCTAGCAAAAACCGGCAATGTCAAAATTCAAAAATGTTTTGTTGGTCAGTTCTGGTAGCTCAGGATGACTCAGGAAGACCTCCTACAGTTATGGTCTATATGAAGTTCAAACTTCTGCCAAATGTAGCATTATTACCTGCAGCTCGTCACCTCCTGCTGGTGGCAGTAGCAATACAAACATATCAACCATATCAGCAACAGCAAACTCCGACTGACCCACACCTGAGGATCAAGAGCAGAAATTGACCAGTCACTTTGGAGATACAATGACAAATAATAATAATAATACCAGGGTACGACACTACCAGAGGATGGAAGGAGGGAACCTGAGAGACTTCAACAACTGAGGCTTATGAGAGTAGCAGTAAAACAAATGTTTGCATGCACATCCTAAAAGTTCAAGCAAATTAAGGAATGGGAATAAGTCAATCCACATTATGGAGCTGGACTGTATTAAATCCCTTCTTGCAGTGGCTGAGTAATTATTGTCCCCTGGGGCATATTCATCCTGATGAGTTGTACGTACAGGCTCAGTTGCACTGCACTGTATCAGTGGAGCACCATGGCTGCAGTTTTTCTAGCAATATTTTATCAAAGGAGTGAGGAACCTCTGACCCACATGCCTAATTAGGCCTGCCAGGCCTCCCCATTTGCCCTCCAAGGCAGTTTCAGCCAAGCCACACTGACCTGCCCTACACCTGACACAATATACGACGTCAGGTGTGAGGCAGGTAAAAGTGGGGTTGGATAAAAGGGGGCTTGCAGGGACTGCTAATCAGTGGTACCTGAAAAGCCCTTTGCGCAGCTTTTCTCAAGTGCCAACTATCAGCTGATTATCAGCTGGTGCTTGAAATGATCACCTGATGACATTGCGATACCACCCAGTTGTCAAAACTGGCCTGCAATGTGTGAAGATGAGGATATGACCCACTGACCAGATTCAGTTCCCCACTCATTTTATCACAAAGCAGCACGGATTCCGCTGCACCTACGACTTGGGTTGTCTCTCTCTTCTTGGCTCAGCAGGCCACAATGCAAAGCAGAACTCCCGAGCTGTGTCACCATGGAAGAAGCCATGCTGCAGGCTGCATAGAATGGAATGACATTTCACTGACCTACTGTTTCTACAAGAACTATGTCATAGCCTCCTCCTTCACACAGCAGAATGGCTTCATTTGTGGTTCGCGTTACACCTCCTAGCGTTCCTCTGGTTGGAGAGGGCCTGATGTAAGCATTCATATCTCTCGACAACTCGGTCATTCGCGTCTTATCGCCCAAGAGTGAGCCTGAAGCATTGAACAAAAGAAAGAAAAGGGGGGAAGAGTTTCATAACAGTCTAGCCATTCAAAACCTTTACCCATGTCTCCTTTAATGCAGACTTATTCTTTGATGAGAACTAGGCTGCAGAGAACAGTCCTTCAAAGAGAACTATTGTGTGCTAAGTTCCTCCACCCAGTTTTGGGTGATTCCCCCACCCCACCCCGGGCCCTTGTACCACATTGCAGACTGTCCACAAAGCGCCCCCCCCCTCCAGCCCTACTTTTTCAGGAGAGCAGGAAGCTGCAGGGGGGAGTGATTGCAAAGTTTTCTTCTGTTAACTTCCTTCCGTTCATGGTCTTTAGAATAAAAGCCAGCATCCATAATACTATCAATTAATCTTATGTCTGCTTTCCATCTTTGTTATGACTGTTGCTGAGCTTTCAAGATGAGGCAAGTCACATAATTAAAGAACAGCCAGTAACTGACAGAGCGAAACCAACCCACTCAGATGTAAAGCCCCACCATTTTCCATAGCGCTTTCTCCCAGGTAAGCCTACACAGGCTTGCAGCCCAATCTATGTCCCTACAACTGGCAAGGAAAGAGGCATGAGAGATAAGTAATCCATTCACACATACTCACCACCACTGGTGCTAGAAGATGGGTCCACTGCCAAGACAGACACTTTGTGTCCTCTTTCAGTGAGCATTTTCCCAAAGCATTCAATAAATGTTGATTTCCCAGCACCAGGAGGTCCAGACAATCCTAAGTCGGAATATAAAGATCCTTTGTTCTAACATGCAATCACAACTCTGAGTGCAAGTCTGTCTCCTTACTATGAAAATGGCCTAATAATAATAATAATAATAATAATAATTTATTATTTATACCCTGCCCATCTGGCTAGGTTTCCCCAGCCACTCTGGGCAGCTCCAACAGATGAAAAACAGAATAAAACTTCAAATATTAAAAACTTCTCTAAATAGGCCTGCCTTCAGATGATAGTTGTTTATTTCCTTGACATCTGATGGGAGGGCATTCCACAGGGCGAGCGCCACCACCGAGAAGGCCCTCTGCCTGGTTCCCTGTAACCTCACTTCTCACAGTGAGGGAACTGCCAGAAGGCCCTTGGAGCTGGACCTCGGTGTCCAGGCAGAACGTTGGGGGTGCAGACACACCTCTAGGTATACTGGACCGAGGTCATTTAGGGCTTTAAAGGTCAGCACCAACACTTTGAATTGTGCTCAGAAACGTACTGGGAGCCAATGTAGGTCTTTCACGACCAGTGTTACATGGTCTCGGCGGCCACTCCCATTCACCAGTCTAGCTGCCGCATTCTGGATTAGTTGTAGTTTCCGGGTCCCAATGCTTTTTTGGTGAGGACCTCCTGGAGGGACCACCAGTGCTTACAGAGCTTCAGTAGGCAATGAGCAAGGGAGGAGTCTTCACTGTGGTGGCACCTCCTTCCCTCAAACTTAGGCAGGCACCATTATTGTTGAGACACTGGCAACTCCTGAGGCTTCTATTGGCATCTTATTCCAGTATGGGATTTAATTTATTCATTTCCAATTTCAGTTGCATGTAGCTTGTATTGAATTGCATTATGCTTTTATTATTGTACTTGGCTTTTAAAAATTTTGTACACCACATTGAGACTGATGTGAAAGGTAGTATAAGAATGTCCCAACACATAAAATAAAAATCCTGAAAAGAAACCTTCCTAAACCCAGATAATGTACCAGATAGATACCAATAATCTCTGCTTCACTCTTAATTCTTGACCACAACTCTTCCCTCCAAAGTTGTAAATTTTCTCATAATTTTGTTATTGGACAACATACATGTCATGGTTCGCTTTTTAAAGAAAATTCACATTCCACATGGTAACTTCCATCTCTAGAATGAATCACTTAACTCTTCCCATAGTAGCCCACCTTCTGATTTGTTGACTATTTTTCCTAACCTACAAGAAAGGAATGTCATATACAAGCATGTTTCATACTGCTTAAGTAAATGATTTTGCTCCAATTAAAAACAACAGCTGATGCACTGTGCTGGCAGAATATTCATAAGAAAATGAGACAGTTCATAGGGAGCAATTTTAGTGGCACGTTAAAAGTAATGGGACTTTGGGGATGACATTCACTGAACTAAACATATTCTATAGGGGACAAGCATTATAACAGAGGCATTCAGCAATGCATAGTTAGTGTGACATATCACAACCAATCATAAGCTAATAGGTTACAATTCCTTTTTAGAATTAATTAAACTGTATTTCTTTAACAACTGACAAGTGAAGACACATTAAATCATCAAAACAGCAATAACTGCACAAACAAAAGAGAACTGACCCACTCTAAAGGCTAGTGGCTTTCCTTTATTTAACTGCTCTTGTTCTCTGTGGTAGGATAGTACCTTCTGAAGGAGCACCTGCGCAATCTCCTTCTTCCTGCTGTGTGTGGATTCTACAAGAGTAATGGCTTCCGCCAGGCAGGCCCTGTGTCCTTGAATTAATCCATTGTACAATTTGTCTAGAAGTCTCTGTTCCTGGTCAGAGAGCTCTCGTGTCTGATGTTCCAACACTGCTGGATAACAGAGGCCAGTGTTCAAGCCCTTTGAAGATATCATCCTCCTTGAACAACACTGTTGTAATGAATTCAGCTGTTGGACACATGAAAAAGCAGATCCAGGGCTGGGCCTCCAGCAGAAACCGTCAAAACTATTAGGAAACCTTCTCTGAAGAAAACAGAGTGGAAATCGCAGCAGCAATGATGATCCATTCATTTTGTCTTGATTCAGAGAAATCCGTTTTTTGGAAGCCTAATAGGAGAAGAAAAATGCTTGGTAATTCCACATTTTTAAAGTGTATTCATGAAGTGTATTTGAAGCAGCGAAGAGGTATGTAGGGAAAGGGTTCGACACCCCCTTGGCTTCTAACTCCACATAATATACTGAGACCCTTAAAGATGATAAATATCAGGAAAACCTTAGTGCCGGAGATTTCAATTTTATAACAGTCTTGCCTGGCAGCTGTAGGTGAGAAGGAATTTCATGCAGAGGAGTGTGCAGAATTGCATGTAGGCAAGTGGGTGGGCTGGCAGAAGAGTACTCTGTCCCTTCTCTATGCCCAGCAAACACAGTAGGCTGCTAGAGGAGAGAATGAGTTCACCTTCCTCTTATGCCAGCCCCCAGTAGGCTAGCAATTTTTAAGTTTATTTACTAGGCTGTTTTATAATGGTTAAGTTTTTACTTACAATTTCTACGAACCTAATACACACTCTGTGAACTTCGCCTCCCCACATCCAGCACTTACTCTCAACCTGCAGATTTTCCAAATCAAACAGACAAATTTTCCCTCAGTTACCGAACTACTAGCAACTGAGAACAAAACTAAATGAAACCTGGTTCTCTAAACTGAACATAAGCAAACAAAACAAAAACAAATTGCAGAATGGTAGGAAATGGCAAATTAAGTTCTCCACAACATTCCCTGGTAAAGGAACCACAGGTTATTGCCCCTGTTGAGGTGAACTTTAAACTGAAAGTTAATGTACTCTCCATTTGAACAACCCTAACACTCTGGTTGGCCACTCTGAGAAACAGGATACTCAATTAGAGAGGCCTTTAGTCTGATTCAGCAGGGCATTTTATGTTCTCAGAATGACCAACCTGCACACACATGTTATCTGAACCTAATGGATGCTTCCTATTACATTGTGATATTTAAATTTCTACAATAAAACAGTACTCTTGTGTACACAGAGGGCTCTCTTCCATATTCAGGTATTGTGGGTGTATGTATTGGTCCCACCTACCTACTCCTATTGATTCTCATATTCCAATGTAGTACTGTAATAGTACAGTAATTCTTTTTATTTACTACTCAGAAAATGTTTTAGGTCAAAATGCTTACTTGGAAGTAAGCTCTACTGAAATCAAGGGAACATTGCTGAATGAAATCAAGGGAACATTGCTGAATCAACACTTATCAGAATTCTAAAACAGACTAAACATTCTAACATACGCAGACACTTATCTTATATTACAAGGCAATCTGACGCACAACACTGACGGTGGTAATTGTTTTTTTGAAAGAAAAGTACAGATTAGTAAGGGCTTTATCAGTTAACCACACTTCTATCCGGCAACATAGACAACTGAAACTTTCTTCTATAACCTACTGTGAGAGATAAAACCAACAGTAGACTAAAATCCACATTTAAGCATTCCAGTTAAATGATATGGTGCCTTCTGAAGTGAAGGAGCCGAGTGACCTTTTAAAAAAACAAACAAAACGTAGGCCCCAAGCAACATTGTTACAGTCCAGCAATATTATAGTTTAATTCTCCGGGAGGGGGGGTGAGAGAAGGGGAGAAGACCCTCTCTCATATATGTTCTCCCAAATTATGTCACGCTGAACACTTACATACAGATAACTGGTAATTTATAGCTGCATACACTTCCAAGAGAACAACCCTTGTCATGTTTATTTGGGCTCCCGTGGGGCTTAACCCCCAGGTAAGTGTGCACAGGGTCGCCTCTCAAACCACTGCAAAACCTGTTACCCCCCGCCATCCTGCACTGGTTTTATTGCTACCTAAGATGGTTTGCGTTTAAGCACCGTGAAAGCACAGAGACCTGTTTCTAAATAGGCAACGCAAATGCAACGCCGCCAGGGTCCACCAAACTGGCGGTCCGCGAAACCCAGGCGGACGCGGGTCGACTAGCAAACACGCGCCCCCCCCCCGTCCGCACCACAACAAGGAAATGACCCCGCTGCTCCGAACCTTTTCACATCCGGGATACGCCAGAGGACGCAAAGCAGCACGCAACTTGAACCGCAACCTCCTCTAGCCTTGACCCCGCCCTGCCCAGCTGCTCCGTGACTATGTCTGCCAACTGCGCCTGCGTAGAAACCGGGCAGCTGCGGGGGCGGGGCGGGGGCGTTGCAAAGGGAAACTGGAGCTGCTTCCACGCAGGCGCAGTCGAAGGCAGCCATGTCCGTTGGAGTTTGAAAAAAGTTTCAGACGGCGGTTGTTGTGTCTTTGGAGAGACCTGAACCTGTCTCTTTCTTACAGCGGGGGCAAGGGCAGTCCTTTCACCTCCTCGCGCAAAGGGTGAAAGCAAAGATCCTTTAGTTTGGTGTGTGTGTTTTTAATTGCCTTGCAAGTATTTGCTTATTTCATAACGCTTATATATTCCTTGATTGATGAATAAATACATAAAATGCTGTCAAAGCGGTTCTTCGGGAGGGAGCGACAGAAGCGTCCTGCAGCCTCGTAAGAATACGGATCCCTTGTTGTAGGGGGGAGGGTGAAATTCGAGATATTTGTGCCCATATTTCATGAGAAGGACATAGAGTGGCTTACAACAATCCTGCAGAGTAGACCAGTGTTGCTATCCCCCCCAGCGCCTAGCCGAGCAGGGTCGTCTGGAACGTCTCCACCCCCATCATCCAGCCTAGACACTCAGATCCAGCACCGAGGGCCTTTTGGCGGTTCCCTCGCTGCCAGAAGTGAGGTTACAGGGAACCAGGCAGAGGGCCTTCTTGGTGGCGGCGCCCTGTTTAGGGAAGTTTTTAATGTCTGACACCGTATTGTTTTTGATAGTTGGTTCGAAGCCGCCCAGAGTGGCTGGGGAGACCCAGTCAAATGGGCGGGGTATAAATAATAAATTATTACTATTATTGCATTGCATCTATTAAAAAACACTCTGCTCAGAAGAAAGCTACCCTGAGTTCAGTGGGACTTACTCCCAGGTAAGGGTGTGAGGGGCTATAGCAGTGGCTTTCAGCTAGTGTGCCGTGGCACCCTGGAGTTCCTTGAATGAGGCACCCTGGGGTTCCTTGAATGAGGGGTGCCGCAGGCAACAATGGCCTCTGTCCCTCTTTGCTTCCCTCCCTTCCTCTGATGCCCTCTCACATCTCTGCCTCCCAAAGGCTTGCGTAGCTGTTTGTTGCTGCAGCCTTGGCTACAAGCTCTGCAGGCGAATGGTGCCTCTGGGGCTGACCAGGGGGTGCTGGTTGCCAGGAGCAGAGGCTGCCTCGGAGTAAGCAAGTGGGTGAGGGAGCCCAGCCAGCCAGTCCACCGGCCCTTGCTGTTGGGAATGGACAGACAAGTGGGAGGCCAGGAAGGCAGGCTGGTACCATGCTGGCCTTTCTTGTGCTTGCCGTGTGCAGTGCCTGCCCTGAGTGGCCCCCATGCAGGTCCAGAAGCGCCAAATGTGCTGTCCTCACGTTTGGCCATTGGGCCACTAAGGCTGGGGGCATCCTCTTCTCAGGCCCCTGTGGAGCAGTGTGAGGAGGCACCCCCTCTTTAGATGCAGCTCAGAGACCAGGGGTGGCAGCAGCAGCTGCCCAGAGGACTCCCAAGTAGAGGGGAGAGGCGAGGAGGCTGAGGGAACACTCAAGAGAGTGTGTTCGGAAAAAGGGTGAGAGGCTGCCAACTCTGCAGGCAAGGGGTGACATAACTGGGTTCATGAGCCCCACAGGAGTGCCGCAGAAAGAATGTAGTTTGTCAAGGGAGCCGTGGACTCAAAAAGGTTAAAAACCTCTGGGCTATAGTGTTTTATCTAGGCAGCCAGGGCTCCTCTGGATGACAATATCTTTTTGCACCAGGTCAGTGAGGACCACTTGTTTTTTAAAATTCTCCTATATACAGAACTCCCTAGGTGCCTTTTGGATGTATCTGTAGGCTTCCCCCTCTGTGTCTATTAACTTAGGTCAAATAAGTGTTGTTTATTTTGTATAATACATGGAAGATGGATCTTCCTTGGGAGGTTCTGGACTCTCCTACCTTGGAGGTTTCTAACCAGAGGTTGGATGGTAATCTGTCATGGATGCTTTAGCTGAGTTTCCTACATTGCAGGGGGTTGCACTAGAACGCTGACTCCTGATGTCCTTTCCAGCTCCATGATTCTGTTCTTCTGCTTCACCAATATTTCATTATGTTCCTATCATTTTATGTAATTGTATTTTGTATAAATTATAAGATTATAAATAAAACATGTTCTATTTACGAACAAAACATTTAAATAGCTGCCTTTCTACTGGTAGAATGGGAGGCATGGGTGTAGCCAGGATTTTTGTTAGGGGACAGGCTTTTGTTGGGGGGCAGAACCTGAGATCTGTATTGATTTAACACCTATGGGGGGCACAGGAAGGAAACAAGGTCAGAAGGGGGCCACAGTCAGAAAAAGTTTGGGGAAAACTGATCTAGTCCAACTCCCTGCAATGCAATGAATTTTTTGCCCAACATGGGGCTTGAACCCACAACCCTGAGACTGAGTCTCATCCATTACCAACTGAGCTATTCCAGGTTCTGCAATAGCCCCATATTGTAGCTGCAATGGGGGCAGAAAATATCAATCCCTGTTAATATCTACATATTGTGAATTAGGAAGGGGAGGTTATAAACTAGCTCCTGTTATTATCTCTGTGTCTGGTGCCAACCCCTAAATGAGGTTGAGGTTCAAAAACCATGGATGGGCAGCTGGTGTCTCCCTATTATTACAGAGCTCTGCAATCCAAGTCTTAGAACACGGAAGGTAAACAGTGGCATGAAGAAGAGGATTAACAATTATGGGAAGGCAACTAAGGTTTCTTCCACATCACTTGTGTATTAAGTGTTCAGTCTGATTTGCTTGCAAGGAGGTTATATGATGCCAGCAGTTTATTGAGCATTCTGATCTGCCAGGAAGTTCTATGATTTCACATCAACCAATTTAGCCCACATTTTCCTTAACCCTGAAATGTCTATTTTATTTTAACTGGAAGCAGTTTTGTTGTGCAAGAGCTCCAGATCCACTCTAATGGCACAGTTGAATCCCACTTACAATATAAAATGGAACTGTCCTAAATTCTAGATCTCATCACCACAGTTTAGAATAATGAGTAAATTTGCACTGATTTCAATCCTGGTGAAAGTAACCACAAATTCCCTAAAGGCATAAGAAAATAGAGAGAGCCCTGCTAGATCAGAATAAGGGCCTGTATGTCTGCTTGAGGGGTGGGCAACCTGCAGTCTTTTACAGCACTTTTAAATCTTATATTAATCACATTGGCATCCTCTTTCGGGTTACATGTCACTTTCCTAATCATTCGTATTCATTTTCTTTCAGGTTCTATTATTGTGGTTTTAAATGAATTCTAGGCATCCTAAAGAGATTTTAATTGACTTTCAAGTTTCACTTCCTTTTAACTGATCCCCTAATCTTTCCAAGGAGTGGGGGAGAGCAACAGGAAGGGTGATGAGAGCAAGGAAAATGAGCAACAGGCTTCACTTGCCTTGCCCTCTCCTTCTAAGCAGTAATGGGCCCAGAGAGAGGGCAACTGGCAGTGGGGACGGGGGCAAGGAAGCAGGTCCCTAGAAGGAAGACACTGTAGGCATCATGCATGAGACCCCCCACAAAACCTGGAGCCAGCACTGGCTGTGTCAACCAGCATATTTAGAAAAACAGTGCATTGGCCAACTGATCCCCACTGTCACACACATACACGCTTCCCTGATTTTCGCTGCACTAGCCATGGACTGGCTAGGGACAGGAAGAGGTGATCAAAGTGCTGAGAAGTATAAAGGAGGCAGTTTGCTGCTGCTCCACCTCATTCTAAATCTCATCAAACTGGGGTTGTGGTTAAGTCTCCAGACAGATCACTTTGAGGCTAACCACAGCTCTAAACAGATCAGTTTGGCCAATACTTTACAGCCCAGTCCTATGCAGCCTAAGTCCTAATTACTTAGAAGTAAGTTGCCCTGAATTCACAGGGCCTCAAGTCTCCACTAGGAGTACACAGCCTATACTTCTATAACATCACTTGCCCGTCCTATATGATGTCATATTCAATGCAGTTTTTCTTTAGAAGTTATCCTTTTTTGTATCGCATGAGGGTGGTATAGTAACTGCCCATCCATTTTAAAGCCATAGGATACAAATCTAACAAACCAAATTGACTCAGGCACCCATACATAGTTCTAGCTGCCCAATTCTATGTATTCAGAAGTAAGTTTTGTTTAGGGTTATTCTCAGATAGGCAGCAATCTTATACACACTCAAGTCCTACTGAACTCAGTGAGCTCTATAGTTGACATGCATGGGATTGGGCTGCAGATACAGAATCACACACACCAGGTCAGGCTGTTGGGCTACCTAGCTCAGAATTGTCAAGCTTGACTGGCCCTGGCTCTGGATGATTGGGTTTTAGATGCAGACATTTCCAGCCCTGCCTGGAGATGCTGGGAAATCGACGTGGTGTGAATTCATAGGGATTCCTATGTCCATTTTATCACAATATTTTTGTCTCCAGAGCTCTTGAGCTCTTTTAAGGCTTTGCATGCATTACAGCTGCCAGACTTCAGGAGAATCCTGAAGTACGCTATATTCACAACTGTAGGTCCCAATCTCTACACTTCAAATGTAAAAGAT